TCTTTTACTCGTCTGCTTTGTTTGGCTCTCTGCATGAAGGTATGCGTGTTGTGCATATATGTGTGTGTGTGTGTGTGTGTGTGTGTGTGTGTGTGTGTGTGCGGCTGATTAAGCATTTGACATACATATTTCTTTGCAGCAGTAGCAACAGCAGCAGTAGCGACTTCAAAACGTATTAGACATGGAAAAACAACTCGTGCCAACACGCACGCTCTGCTCCTCTCTCTCTCTCTCTCTCTCTATCTGTTTGTCTCTTTCCCTCTCTCTAGCTGTCCTTTACTCTCTCTCTTGAAAGCTGTCTCCGATTTTGTCTGTGCCGCATTTTCCTATTAGCTGCCAGTCGAGCAACAATTCGCAACAAAATATGCAAATGCAGCCAAGCGTATGAGCTTTTACCCTCCCCCCCAACACCTACCCGTTAAACCCCTGCCCACATCCTAACACAATCTGTGCTTCTTTCACCCCGCTTCCCGACGTGCTGCAACCCTTATCGGTATGAACTCTTTCCATTTGCCGCATTGTTTTTCTGTCTGTTTGTTGTTGCCGCCTGAATGATTCGTAGCTGAGCATTTGCCAGCCAAATTTGCAGCACGTGCTTAAAACTTTTATTCTGTGTCTGTGTGTGTGTGTGTTAGTGTGTGTGTGTGTGTGTGAAGTAAACTTACCCTAACCCACTTCACCCTTATCGTTTTATCGCACTCGGCTCAGCTACAAAGTCCGAGTCCAAAAGTCCAAAAGTGCAAGTCAAAGCCAAGTTTTGCAACCAACAAGAGAAATGTTATGTTGTCTTTTAATTGAATTCTGGATGGAGAGCGCATAACTGAAATCTCTGCTAAGCCAGCCACATCTTGACCAGGAAACTCAGATCCAGACCACAGACAATCGCCATTTGCCATTCGACAGGCAATAAAAATGTTGTAAGAATCGCAAAAAGTAATTTGAACCGGATATCGAAGGGAATTTCAATTTGTCGAATTTAAAATACCCTATAAAGTAATTGAAAGGCCATCGAAGTGCATGGGAATTTTAATTTATTTAATCATTTTACTTACAAATCTCAGCTGGGTGAACCAGAAAACTGACTTGGAAGACTTATTTGGATTAAAGCTAACTTTTAATATTTAATATTAATTTTATTACGTTTTTTTGTTGTTGTTAAGTTTCGTCTTACTTTATCGGATTCCTTATGGAAAATAATTACAATAAGATAATCGCAAAATGAGTAGAAAATTGTGCAATCTGTTCCTAAGGCAAAGAAAATGCAATAAATATTAAATGATTGCACTTAAAAGCAATTTAAATAACTCTCTAACTAACAAGCTGACTCACACACATATTAATAAATATAAAGCTGCTTGTATTTAAAATACCAAAAGAGCCAAAAGATGCCGAGTTATGCCCACCTGATAGAGTCATTCGACTTGCCTGTTACAAACAACACTCCAAAGTTGTGAAACTCTCTGAATGAGTCAGCGAGCAGCTTACAACCGATGGCCAGCTGACGATAAGGGGCAGCGCAGGTCGACTGGGCTCTTGGCTTCGATGGGGTCTGGGGTGTTTTTGTGGTGGTTTGGCGAGGTGTGGATTGAGGTGCCCGCATTCGCAAGAGCATCAAGGATGGCCCGCCCAATTAGTTGGCGCATTAAATGGGATCTGCAGCGGCGAGGCCAAACCGAATTTATTGTGTTAACAGGCCGAATTGTGTGTGTGTGTGTGTGTGTTAGACGCTTATCGCTGCAACCAGGCACAGGATTTGAGTCGACTCTGGTCGAGCCTTGCAACGTCCTCGGCAGTTCTCCTCTCCTCAGCGCGAGTTGCGTCAACTCAACTCGTAATTGACTTGTTGCCAAGTAATCGTTGTCTGTTAACTGCTGTTGTCAGGGGATTATCTACAGTTCAGTTGAAATCGACTTGGCCTCATCTCCTAAACCCCAAACGTCCTGCAGCGTTCTCATTGCGTAGCACACACACACACACCGAATTTGTAGCTGATAGTCGTTGTTCATTGAAGTGCATGAAATGTGAAAAACAGTAAACATGCTTAGCACATTTCTCCTAAACCTAAACTCAAGTACTTTATTGTTATACTACAGTATTCCACTTGTCCAGGTTGTGCTCACTGTGTCTTGCTTGCAGGTAATTGGTTTTGCATACGTTGCGAGTACCCCTCTGCCGATTCTGATCTGACCCGACCAGACCCGACCTCACTCGACCACACCTGACCTGACCACCCAAAATGTTGCTCTATATGCGTAGGAGCCTCCTTCAGACTCGCAGTTGCTGTGGCTTCCTGCCTGGCTACCGGATGTATGCAACAAGCGGCGTCCGCCGCAATCAACGCGGTGAGTTGGCAGCGCAAAGCTCTCCCCCGTTTTGGGCATTTTGAAGCATTGCCATAAATGTTACATTTGGCTTTTAGCGAGCGATAAACGTTAATATGAGTCGGGCCAGGGATGAAAATGCATACAGGTAGTAAGCCGGCAGGCAGATAGGTGTAGCTGAGGCTAGCCAGCAATTTGGAATGGCTTTTGAAAAGTCAACGCCGAGGGAATTACGCAGCCAACAGGCAGCTTATAGCAACTAACTCTAAAGTAATCCGTCTCCCTTCCCTGCCAACATGCCAACCAGTTGCCACTCATGTTCACAGATAAGCAGAAGTTTGAGTGGTTGAGTCTGTGTATACCCTGTAAAATAACACAAGTCTTTTAAATCCATATAAAATAACACAACTTATAAGCAACTAAATTTAAAAGTATCATTTTGGTGTCCAATATTTGCCAAACAATTTTGTTTATGTTTCCTTACAAAATGTTGTGCTACGAAATATGTTTAATATTTAATAAGATGTTGACACAACATTCTCAAGTTTCAAATCCCTTTAAAATCAATTCTAATATAATAATATTGACTTATGGTTTGCTTGGCTGCTCCAATAACGGCTTTTCTTTTGAAGCTGGAAGCAATAAGTTGTTCATCAAGTTGTTGGGGTTAATTTCTTGCTACAGCCACACCACACACACTCAGTTGTGCGTATGGCAGTGCGTATCTTCAACATTCTGACAGCCTTCGTGACTTTAAATTTTCATCTAGTAAATGCGCTATTGAGGGCGCTAATTAAAAATGTGGCAACTGCACACGATGCTCCTTTGGTTGGTACCACCAACTCACCTCGCCGCATAATGAAAGCTTCGAGATTCGCCACCCTGTGGCAACCTCCCTCTTGTCATTTATCCATAATGGCGTTGCCATCCCGTTTTCTATTGCGTACTCTTTACACAAGCGATGCTGCTGTTCCTGCAGCGCAATTAACGCCTTCACTTTTGGCATTCGAGCTGCATCTAAAAAGCAGCTGCTACGCCTGGCAGATGCCTCCAGCAACACCCACACCCCCAACCATCTACCTATGCTGCGTGGTGGCTTTGTCGGTAGTTGCGTTCTATTTTTTTATTTTTTTTTTACTTATATTGCATATTTATTAAAATGCAGCAAGTGAAGGGAGGAGAAGAGAGAAGAGATACGGAAGAGCTAAAATGTAATAACTCTTGTTGTGGCCTCGCCCAATCCGCTGATGCTGCTCGCTCGGCATTGGGCGACTGCTTTAGCAGATTTTGCTTTTACTTCTGCTTTCGCTTCTTTTGCCTCTTTTCTGGCTGCGCATTTGTTAAGCTGCTTTTGTCCGCAGGTGTTTGCTTTTGTTGGCTTAACGCTTAAAAATGATTGTGCCGCATATATACATATATTTATATATAAATTTAGATGTATATTTTTGTATACATTTATATATATATATTCTTTTTTTTTTGTTCTGTCCAAGCTGATTATTAATACAAAAATTGAGCGCAGCTAATAAGCTTAGCGCGCCAAGCCCCGTGTCTTCTTCTTTCTATATGCGCTGATGCTGCCGCTGCTGCTGCTGCTCTGGTAATTGTGCGCTAATTCAAATTATTACCAACACATTCGAGGTGAGTTTTTAACAGCAGCAGAGCAGAGCAGCAGCAGAACAGTGCTGCTAACGAGTGTTTATTAATGGCGCTAATGGCGAAAACTGCGCCTTTTGATGAGCGTCCGCTTAAGCATACACGACTCACACAACGCACACAGCTCGCACAGATCCTCCATAGCCATGTCCTCTTTCAAAATGCGTCCGCCTCGCAATTAGCGCACAAATATTTCCGCATGTATTTCTTTCTTTCGCATTTATTTTTTGTGTTGTTTCATTTGCCAAGCGACCATAAAAATGCTCAACCGAATTGTAGTAATTACAACAATTTGCATAGTCCGACGAGGCGTGGTGGTGGGATGTGAGGGATTTATAGAGGGCGGCGAACGGAAATCAAAAAGCGCAAAGCACAAAGTATGCTACGCATTTTGAAATTTATTCATGCAGGCGACAAGGAGCGGGCTGGTAAAGCGGTACAAAGAGCAAGGAATCGCAAAAAGCAACCCAAATGCCGCTAATTATGTAATATGAAAATGTGACGACGACGACGACGACGACAGCAAAAACAACAACAACAAGGGCAGCGTCAGGGACAAGGACATGAATCCGGGATACCGAATAAGACCGATTTATTTGCATATGGTAAATAGGCAGGCAGGCGAGAAGGAATGCCGGACCCTTTTTCAGGTATACCCTGTTGTCGTCAAAATGCAAGTAAAGAGTACTTTTAAATTTGATAAATCAGTATCTTTTAAGCCGTGGTGCGACCATATTATTATTTTATTTTGTATTATTTAATTATTTAATGAGCAACATTTCTTATGTTGAATAAACTTTGTACATTTTCAATTTCTTTAACCTTTGAATCGCATCTAGGGTATTTTTTTAGTCGAGCACTCTCTGTTGAGTGTTTTTTATTTGCCTGTTATTCACTTCGGCCATTAACTAATTCAATTAACACTTTGCATTATTCAAGCGCAGTCACATCTGTTCAAAATCTGAATACTGACTGCCATTCAAAAACTCTCAGGCAAACAAGTCCAAATGCCCAGCAATTATTATTCTTTTATTAAAAACTTTATTATTAGGAGCTTAAAAAGGCATAAGATATTCTTAATATTATTGTTATACCCATCATCTATTGTTTGGTACTTCAAGGTATTTGCAAAACCATTTTAAAAGTGTTTCCTTATTAAATGTATCATACTTTTTCAACAAATTTTTTTAAATCCTCTCACCAAGGATAATAATGCGAATCGGCCACGTGAAACTATATAAAAAATATTTTCGCTCTTTCAACGATTATGGCAGCATCGTAAAAAATCCAATTTTCAATTTGTTAAAAATTTTTGTTGTTTTTTTTTCAATCAAATTTATTACACATGGGAGGTGAAAAACAAATCTGCAATCGGCGCTTGTTTTCTTAAAATATTATCATGTCCATATGTCCTTATGTGTACGTGTGTATATAAATATATATATATGTGTGTGTGTGTGTGTGTGCAGGACAATTAAAACCATGCAAAGCTACAGATACGGCAGAGACACAGCCACACAACACAGACATAGTCACAAACAGCAAGGACAGACACACGGATAGCAACGTGGTTGCCTTGGGGCTGCCTAGTAAATGGTAATCAACGCAAATCCTCCATAGAGCACCGCACATGGATAGGCAATCAGCAGCTGTTGATGGTCCATGGAGAATGCCGTGGCGAATAGTTTCGAAGCTGATATGGCGCACCAGAGTATGGAGATGCCGCTCACAATTAGGCCGAGTGTGCCCCTGTAAAGAGAAAGATTTAGAAAGTCTGAGTGAGTGAGAGAGAACGAGAGAGAGGGAGAGAGAGAGAGAGGGGGAAACTGAGAATAAGCGAGACAAAATGCGAGTCGAGCGAAATGCAAAGAGAAAAGCAACGACAGCAAAATCAATAAACAATGCATATGCATGAAGCAGCAGAAAGGGTATACGGCTGACTGACTGTGTGCCATAAAAAAAGATTGCCAGTCGATGTGTGCGTGTGTGTTTTAGAGTGTGAGTGTGTATTTTGTGAATGAATGAGCAGTGCAAACAAAGGCAGCAGGCGATGTGCAAAGGATGTGCAAACACAGTCCAACTACAAAGCATCAAGTGTAGGCAGACAGAATGGAAATTGAAATACTCTTATATTTGAGTATCGTCCAAGAGCTTACCCATAAGCCCCGAAACGTATCTCAACTCCAGACTAAGAAAAGTACGTTTGGAATTGAATCTAATCTGGCCTGCAGCTTATGACGGATAACACAATGCAAAACAATTGATTAAATCAGTTGCCGCAAGACTTCTTTAGCTTGTCTATTTTCACGGCTTCATTGAAAACTATATTGATAAGCATCAAGTAGCAAGTTTGATTTGGTCAAATTTGAATAGTAATTTAAATTTATATTTATTTAATGTGTTATAGAAACAGTACACACATTTTCAAAACTGCACAGATGTGTTGACCTGGAGCCAGTGAAAAACATATTTCTAAATTGAAATTGATTACACAAAGGCAAAGAAAATATAGACAAATCTCTGATATGAAGTGATACGAGTTTTGAAAACCAATACAGAAATAGAAAAATCTGATTCAACTGTTTCAAAGATTATATTATTTAAATATACCCTTTAAAATACTCAATAAATGCCAAAGCCTTTTATTTCAATATTTGTTGGATGGTTTCACTGTTGAGTTAATTTTTTTGTGAAATGCTTTTAGCTTATTAATATTAAATACAAATACAATAACTGACAAGCATAAATAACCTTTAAGAATATATACTTTTCTGAACATTCTTTAAATATTTTAAATCTCTTCACAATAGACTTGTTATTTAAAGTATCGTATCTAACATAAAAATAAAATTAAATGGTTCTTTTGCAGACAGCATGTGCGAATTTTAATCTATAAATAATTGTAATGCTCTCAACGGTTCTCATCACAACAATCCCAATCATTCACAATGTCTGAGGACTCAAAGCGTTGACGGTTCCGTTTTAATGGATTGCCCTTTTTATTATTATATTTCTTTTTGTTGTTGGATTGTGGTTGTATCTGTGCCTGAGGTCACCTGGTCCCAAAACTGTCGCAATTCGCTTTCATCTAACCCACATGAAGACCCCATAACCTTGCTGTAACCTTAGACCCCCCTTAGACATCAGTTTGGCCCTTGCGTGGCACTGTTTAAATTCCCTTTTTTACACTGTGCAAAAATTATGGCCTAAGCTTGGCAAATGCTGCTGTTATGTGAGTGTTGATTGTGCCAAAGTGATTTCTGGCTTGGCTTAAACGGACTGCGACAATGCCTTGCCTCTAAAACCAATCAACCCAATGCTGTTGTTAGCTGCTTTTCTCCCCATTTCCCTTCGCACACACACACACACATCCCACCCTCCCCTCGCTTCCCACTCCAGACAGTCGCAACGGCCAACTGCTGTCGAGTGTAATTTTTGTGCACTTTTGCATCACCAAACAAACTCAATTAAAAAGTCTGTCTAAAAAAATTGCAAAAATATTTACTGTAAACTAGTACGAGTGAATATGGGCTGGGGGTGGGGTTAGTTGGTAAAGGGGTTACGACTATGGTTACGAGTCCGAGTATATGAACATCAGACACGCTCGCACACACTCGCACACATCCGCACACACAGAGCCATGCAAACACGCACAAAGTGCAGGCGTTTAAAACCAACAAATAAAAAATGCAAGCAAACGGGCAACCAAATGGCAATTGGGCAGCTTCAGCTGGCGGAAAAAAAAACACACACACACCCACACATATGTACACACCCACAAGCGAGGGTGGTTTGGTGGGTTGTGCGAGGCTGGTATGTTAGCGTGGTGGTAAACAAAACGCTGCTGGTGTCGAATAAGCTTGGGCAATAGTTGTTTTTCATGCCGGGCCAGGGCCAGTTGAAATTATGATGTGCCAGAGAGTTCTGGCCAAAGGCTCGATTGAGAGGCACGCGCCGTAGAAGGTGAGGGAGTTGGGAAGCAGGTGCAGTGGCTGCATATGGGTTTTGCGGTACAGCACACGCAACATTTGCATGATGCTCTTCAGCAAAAAAAAAGGGGAAAAAAAAACAGAAATGAAAATAAAAATGTAAAGGAAAAAGGCAAAATAGTGACTACACACCCACACACACACATACACACCAAGTGTTGAACACATATTTGAAAAGTAAAATACGTGGACTACTGCGAATATCCGGACACGGCTACATTCCCCCCATTCTCCGTATCCACTAGGAAAGAGTGGTGAGAAAATTAAACGGTGCATAGCCGAGCGCCTCGCTGCCTTTTCTTCTATTATTTTTTTTTTTTTTTGCTTCAAGTTTTTAGCCCCAGGGTGCACTAAATGTACAAATTAAGTTGCACATTTTTTATGCTGCTACTCTTAAAATGCAACAGCAATAAACAATGGGACATACATAAAACTTGAGCTGCAAATAATGCAAACAATTTTTATAACTCTTTTCCCATGCCAATTGATGATCATATTAATCAATTAGTTCTTTTAATTATAACTTTTGAATAGAAGTAATTAATTGGATTTTGAAAATACTTTTCCACACCACTAATAATTTAATAAATATTTAAACAGATATATTCATAATTTAGTAGATAAGGACGCGCAAGCCTGAACCCTTGACTAAGCATGAAAAAATAATAATAACATTAAGCTTGCATATGAAAATTGAGTGTAGAGCTTGTTTTCGAAACATGTTCGACTTTTTATTGAATTTAATCCGATTACTGCACTGTTTAATAATCAACCAACCGAAAATGTTCATTCCTATGTGTTATTGGCTTTAAATGAAATTCTTGAGCCAAGTTGCGGTCAACTAACAGCCCTAAATACTTGTTTCGATGATGAATTGTGAGTTTTCATGGGTAAACAATTGTGAAAAATGGCTAATGCAATCAAACTGAAAGTCATTTGAAGTCAAATCATCGAACTGGGCTAAGTAGTTGAACGTGCTGCAGTCGCAGCTGTACTGACTTACGCAAAGTTTTTAATTACGGCCGAGGCACACAATGCATTGCCAACTTTTCAATTACAAAACATAAATACAAATCGGTTAAAAAGTGGGGGATGGGAGCGGATAAGCCAGCAAGCAGGAAGCAGCAGCCAGCGAGTTGTGTCAACAATTACTTACTGAATGGTGATTAAAATGTTGATGCCAGAGAGTAGGACCATGGGCAGCAGACAATAGCCCAGCACAGAGGCCACCGCGCCAAAGGTCACTTGCGAGCGTGTCACCATTAGCGAGAGCAGACAGTAGAAGAAAATGCAGCCCATCACGCCAATGCCGTAAATGTACGAGAATGTAACTTTTCCACTCTGCGAAAAAAATAAAAATAAAAAATAGGTACAGAAAAACAGAGCACAATGATAAAATCAAAACAGAGGCATTATGTAATTAGAAGTTGTTTGATGGGTCGCCACGACACTCACCAGCAGCAGGATGCCTCCAAGTGTGAGACAAAACACCAACGGTCCAGCCATATCCGTGTCCTGAAGTATTTGTTGTTCCGTGCCCCGAAACGGATTAAGCACGGCCAGTGTCTAAAAAGCGAGCAAAAATCGTAATTGAACACACATTGTTTTTAGAATTAAAGCCAGCAACGTCAGCAGCCCATCATCATTCACACAAACTGCGGAAATGCGGACAGGACACAGCACAATTCATTTGTTCGCGCACATAAAACTAAGCCAGAGTTCCGTTTCTGCAACAGTTGTTGCTATTTTATTCTGTTATTGTTTCAGTGTGTTTCATGTTTGGGTGCACATTCGCAGTGAAAAGTTTGAAAAATGGAAATTGATGATAAATGATATTGGTAGCCGGCAAGCGAAGACGCAGCGGAGCAGCAGAGCAGTGAACGAGCCTGTCAACATATTTGACGCACCCGAATTTAGACCAACTGACCCACAAATATAAATTTGAATTGAAACAGTGCCCATAAAAACAACAATAGCTGTTGGCCAACACACATGCGACCAAATGAAAATCGGCTCAGCAAACATTCAGTTAAACATGAAATCCTTTTAGCTATGAATTAGCACAAAATATGCTTTTAAATCACAGGCGGAGTCTTATCAAATCGTTCACTTCCATCACTAAAAGCAAATCTCTGTTTTCTATGACTTTTATTTAATTTTTATTTTAGTTTAGAATGAAGCTTTTGCAATGAGAGCATATTAAAAGTTTGCTTTCATGTGCAATAAAAGTTTAGGTACATAATTAAAGGCACCAAATCTCAAATAGTAAGTCGTTAAAGCCATGTTTTCATGTATTTGACACGCAACGTTTATATCTCACATCACATATGTATTTCACCTAAACTATAATGGCTTCATAAAAAAAATAAACTAAACAAGATCTGCTAATGATATAACTATGAATATAAACTAACACTTTATCAGATCATATTAATAAGCATGAAATAAAAACGAGGAAATGTGCTATGCCCTGACAAATGTACGCAGAAATCGCCTGCCTCTTTCATTGGAGAGAATTCCCTTCCCAATTGTCCACATGGACCATAATTGGCTACCGCACAGACTATGCTCCCTTTTCGCTACCACCCGCAGTCCCTCGGAATATGCGCCACAAACTGCATCACAAAATTTTAATTCGCTCTGCAAGGCTATAAAGTGGAACAGTTAAAGAATTTTAAATTTTTATGAACGTATACGAATTTCTTTGCGATTCGTTTTTATGAACGTAGACAAGTTTTCAATATATTATTTTGGTGTACTAAATGGAAATAATATATCGAATTTGCACGTTTATCTATCATACATTCATTTGGTTTCATTTGAAAAGGAATACTGCTGTTGCTTTCAGTTTATTTAATTGAAAGGTAATTTGCCTTTATTATATATATATAGCAGCTACAGAATACTATATTCTTAACAATATAATTGGATTTTCACTTAATTTTTATGATGGCAATAGTCTCATTAACGTTTTCATTTTTCAATTAACACAAATGTAATAAATTCCGCAAGCAAAGAAAAAAAAAACAACGGGAATAAAATTGAAAATAGCGTGGAAAAATTATACAAACGGAAAAATGTGAGAAAAGTTACACAGAGCCAAACGAAAGAAAAAGTTTAATTAAAAACACAAAAGTTGTGTTATTTAAAAAATAAATAAAAAAATAGATAAATAAAACACAACACAGCAATGAAAAAATATGTCTTCATTAACGACAAAACAAATGCAACGGCAACAATAACAACAGCAACAGCAATGAAACAACGGGCAATGCGCAAAAAACTGGTTACCCAACAAGAGTGCAATAAATAAATACAAAAGCGAAATGCAAAAACATTTAAATTTCAATTAAAACTGAGCGCGGCGAGACCAAAGCAAAGATGACCGCAATGGAAAAGCCCGGCCTAAAGTGGACACAAACTCTCCTGCTGCTTCCCACTCTCCACTCCGCACTCTGCACTCCCCGCTCGCTGACTATATTCAAGTGGTGTACAAATTAGAAAACTCACCAAAAACAAAGCGAAATGCGTAGAAGCAAAAAATGAATACAGAAAGAGTAATTGGGAATACAAAGTGCGGCAATCTTCTCGCTGCCACTGGGAGAGGACCATTGCAGATGCGCCCTATGCGCCTTAAGATATGCATTTTGTCCCAGTTGTCTTTGGTTTCTAAGAGGAAAACAATTCGAGTGCTTACCTTTTGGAAAATGTGATTTGGATTGATGCCCAGCTCTGTGAAAGAAAGAGGAAAACATTTTATTAATTATGCATTTAGGTTACAATAGAACTTTGTTGTGTTTGTGTTTGTGCCCATGTCGCTTACCCTCCAGCAATGGTGGCTCATCCTCAAACTCGTTACCAGCGGCGCCACCAGCAGCGCCGCCCTGCTTAAAGGTCTGGTCCGGCGCATAACTGTTGTCTGTGTATGCGGTCGGATCGTAGAAGCCGCCAAGACCTTGATTTGGCGCATTACTGTAGGCGGCATCGTAATTCGGCGGCACCGACGGCTGTGTGTTGTCAAAGCTTTGGAAGTTGCTGTAGGTAAAACCAAAACAACAAAAACAACGCAAACAAAATGTTAAACAAATTGCAGTGCGGGACGCGTGTTTAGGAATACTTACAGTTCTTGGCCAAATTCGGGCATATCAAAGTTGTAGCTAGTTTCGGCTGACGCACCGGAAGCGTAAAATTCATTGGGTCTACCAAATTGAGACATATTGCCGCACTTAACACAATATTTAAGATATTTAATTTAGAAATTCAGTGCAACACGTCACTGAAGAGCGGCTGATTGGTATTCACAGGTGACGCCGACACGTATGTAAAGTTAGACTTCTGTAAAGTGACTGTTAAGTGAGGCCCAGTGCTGTGCAACGCTACAATTTACTACAGCTGTTAGGCGCGCCATTTGAATAGTAGCAGCCCCCGCCTAAAGTTGAAATATTTTGTCAAGTAAAAAAACGAATAGAAGTTTGATAATATTAACATTCATAATACATTATTTTTTATTTTTACATAGCTCCATTTGCAACACGCACACAACTATTTTCGTCAATTGGGGCCATATAATTATTGCGTTTTGTAAAGGTCTATAATATATATCTATATATATATATTTATAATATTAGAATTTTTCGTATTTGTATTTTAAACTTGTAACACGCAATGACAAAAAATTAAATAAATTGTTAGTAGTAGTTTGGAGTTACAGTTACATAGAGAACACAGTTAGATAACTTTACGAATTTGATTTACTAACAATAAATAGCTGTGAATTATAATTATATGTTTTGTATACATATATCAACATAGATAATTTATATTTTTATATATATATGATGTATATTATTTATATGGCTGGTTTAAGTGGAAAACATCCTTTGGTTTTTTTTTTAAATTTGTTTTGCGCTATTGGCTAATTATTGTTCGTCTTTTCTAACCCATTTCCCAACTTCGTCGTGTTTTGTTTGTTCATTGTTTCATTAATTTCTCCAAGATCCTCTACAACTGAAGCTTCCGTCCAACCAGACGCAAACGCTCTAAACTGTTAAACTTAAAAATTAAATCGATTTCAAATATCTTATTACGCATTATGTATAATATGACTAGCTTGATGGGGGAATTCGAATAATAACCTAACACTGGGTTGCTTATTTTGTTTCTGGTAATTTTTTTGGTATTTGTTTTAAATTTGTTGTTATGTTTTTCTTGGTTCCATGTTAGGTTCAAGTACACATTTTAATCCTCCAAATTTCGGAAGGCCTGCTGCACATCCTCGTACAGCTGATCGTAATCAGCCTTAATTTTTTGTTCGCCATCTTTCACGGGATCCTGCAGAGAGATAGAGAAAAATACACGTTTGAAATTTGTATCCCCTATTGTCTGGTGAATTGATACTCACCTTGAATTTCATGGAGGACAACTGATACATAATGCTGCCCATCGACTCACGAATGGTGTTCCATGTGATCTTATTGTCCGACTGGGCGGTCGACTCAACGGCATGCCGTGCCGTCTCATAGAAGGCGAGAATGTTGCGCAACATGCCCACCGTTTTGTAGAAGGGACAGACGCGATCGTACGGTGAATAGGAGTTCTGTTGCAAGAAGTCATCCTTGAGCAGCTTGGCCACCTCCAGGGTAACCTTATCGGTCTCCGCCAGCGATGCCTTGCCCACAAGCTGCACAATTTCGGAAAGATCCTCCTCCTCCTGTAGGATTTCCTTCACCTTGGTACGCAGTGGAACAAACTCGGGAAAGTTCTTGTCGTAGTACTCGTCCAGGGCACGCATATACTTGGAATAGGAAATGAGCCAGTTGATGGAGGGGAAATGCTTGCGCTGCGCAAGCTTCTTGTCCAGACCCCAGAACACCTGAACAATACCCAAAGTAGCGGACGTAACGGGATCGGAGAAATCACCGCCGGGTGGCGAGACAGCGCCCACAATCGACACGGAGCCCTCACGTTCGGGATTACCCAAACATTTGACGCGTCCAGCGCGCTCGTAGAAGGTGGCCAGACGTGCGCCCAAATAAGCCGGATAACCGGAATCGGCAGGCATCTCGGCGAGACGACCAGATATCTCACGTAGAGCCTCAGCCCAACGGGACGTGGAGTCAGCCATCATTGCCACATTGTAGCCCATGTCACGGAAGTATTCGGAGAGCGTGATGCCAGTGTAAATGGAAGCCTCACGAGCAGCGACAGGCATGTTGGAGGTGTTGGCCACCAGAGCCGTGCGCTTCATGATGGACTCCGTTACGCCATCGATTTCACAGGTCAGTTCCGGGAAATCACGCAATACCTCAGACATCTCATTGCCACGCTCACCGCAACCGACATAGACGATGACATCTGAATTGGAGTACTTGGACAAAGCCTTTAAATGGAATTTAGGTGAAATTAGTTTCTAGTAGTGGCATAGATGATTCATCTTACCTGAGAGATGACAGTCTTGCCGCAACCGAAGGCACCGGGAATGGCAGTGGTGCCGCCCTGGACACAGGGGAACAGGGAGTCGAGGACACGCTGTCCCGTAAAGAGTGGGTGATTAGCCGGCAGTTTCTCGGTGCAGGGTCGCGGTTGACGCACTGGCCACACCTGCAGCATCGTATGTTTTGTGATCTCGCCATCGAATTCCGTTTCAAGCACAATATCCTCCAGATTGTAATTGCCACCCGGAGCAATATAGCGAACTGTGCCCTTGGCGCGTGGCGCCACAATCATGCGTTGTTTGACCAATGTGTTCTCATGCACCACGCCGTACAGATCCCCACCCGTGATGTGGGATCCAACGCGCACATTCAACGGATTGAACTCCCACATTTCGGAACGGGATAAGGCGGGTGTATTAACGCCCTTGGGTATATATATGGAGCTGGTCATGATGCCGATGTCGCGCAACGGACGCTGAATGCCATCGAAAATGCTGCCCATAATGCCGGGACCCAGTTCGACGGACAGTGGCTTGCCAGTGCGCAGGACGGGATCACCGACTGTGACGCCCGAGGTTTCCTCGTACACCTGAATGGTGGCCATGTCGCCCTCGAGACGGATAATCTCACCCACCAGCTCATAGTAGCCCACACGCACCAGCTCGTACATAGCAGAGCCGGACATGCACTCCGCCGTAACGACTAACACGGGAGACAAAAAAGAAGAGTGTGTGTAGTTTTTATTGAGGTCAGCAGTTGAAGGACAAAGTTGAAATCTTACCTGGACCGGAGACGGCGTAGACGCGCCCGTATTCGGATTCGCGGTCCTCGTCTTTCATTTTCCTCAGGCTCGACATGTTTGAGGTGCGTTCGGTTCAACAAAATTCGCTCGCTAACAAAAAGAAAAACGAGAAGAAAACAACAATAAAAACATTTTGCATGCTTTGTGTTTTATGGCACAAAGAGTAGGAAAATGAGAGAGAGAGAGCGAGAGAGAAAAAAGAAAACTATATGGCGCTGCTGTGGGCAGCCCCCAGTCAAAGCTACACACCCCCGCAGCAGCCAACACCGATCGATTTTTCCCACACACAACTTTTCACGCTTACCACCCACAATGTAAATGCTTGTTATTTATTTTTTCCTAACTGCATTTGGAGTCGAGCGGAAGTCTTGCATACTTTCAAGCACTTTCGATTTTGCATTATTTATTTTTTTAAAGCTTGCTTAATAGGGTTTTCTAGTTGGAAACTTGCTTTTACTCACATTTGTTTTAGCTCTTATGAAAATTCTCAGCAGACTGAGTTTCTATTTTAATAGATTGGCAGCGCCTCAAGTTTTCCAATACTTTGAGAAAATGACTATCGGTTTATTTCCGATGCTTACAATCGAAACTCGATAATTCTAAAATCGCAAATTTATAGAATCGAAAATTTGCGCCAATTAGTTTTATTTTATTTTTTTTGTGCATCGCAGACTAAAACTGACATGAATAAGCATTTTGTTTGTCTAAACGAAATTTATATATGTAAATTTATAAATGTATAAATACTTAATTGTTTTCTTACTTCTTGAATTATACTTATACTTATTGATATGAATTTCATTAATTTTCATTAAACTCTACCAAGCTTCTAGCAATCTTACAATATTTCATGCAATAACATTTTAATTAAATAGACGCACATATAAAATCTGTGCATTTTACGATTATAATTCAGTAAGCTTGTCAAACCGAACAGCTGCTGTATGTTGGTTCGTGCAGGGACACAATGTGTGCTATCGATGCAACGAGCATTTACACTCAATAATCGATAGGTTTACTATCGCACAGCACGGAGCTAGTTAAATGCGTACACCCATCTCTACTACCTTCTCGCCTGCAAAACAAACTCAAAGCGAAAACAGAAAAACAAGAAATTTAGGGAACAAAATATAAGTATAGAGCCAATTCGGTTAAGATTGTCGCGCTGCAACGCATAAAAGAAACATGTGAGAGTGCCGAACACAGGCTGTGGATTATTGCGTGACGTGCCCAGACAGACTCTCCGATTCCGGGCAAGCGAACTATAACCTCAAAGTCTCAACTGGACGTGGGTGCACCTGCTTCGCATTGCAGGCGCTTGGGGCTTCTCCCCTGACCCAAGATTGAATTGTAGCATCAACATGTCGACACCATCGAATGTGCAGCACTTCGTTAACGGGCTCAAGTCCCGCAATCGCAATGTGCAAAACAAGGCGGCGCAGGATCTCTTTCTGTATGTCAAAACGGAACTGCGTGAAATGTCTCAGGAGGAGCTAATGAAATTCTTTGACGATTTCGATCATCACATCTTTAACATGGTCAACTCACCGGACATCAACGAGAAAAAGGGTGGCGCCCTCGCAATGAGTGAGTATCGCTTTTCTGCAGCACAATTTCAGGAAAAAGCTAATTTTCGCCTGATTTCTGTTTTAGAGTGCCTCATTAGCGGCGATGCCTTGATAACGCGCAAAGGTATCTCTCCCTACCTCAATCGCTTGCGTGATCTACTGCTCATTAACGATGTGTCCATCATGGAAATAGCGGCTCGCTCCTTGGTCAAACTGGCTAATATGCCCGGCTCTAAGGGAGCTGAATCCTTTGACTTTGACATCAAAAAGGCCTTCGAGATGCTCAGCGGCGACCGACAAGAGGTGCGTACTTATTTAAGCTGTGAACTGATAAATCTCTACAGAGACAGATTAATTAAATTCTGTACTACAAATTAGTAAACAACTAAAAATAAAGCTGTTCTAATTTATTTAACAGACAGAAGCAAAAATATGTGCTTTAAACTTGATATCTTATCGTTTATTTACTCTTAACCATTTTTGATATGTAATTCTTAATTTATTCTTGCAGTATCGCCGTCATGCGGCCGTCTTCATTTTACGAGAATTGGCCATTGCGCTGCCCACGTATTTCTATCAGCAGATTCTTACGTTTTTCGAGCACATATTCAACGCGATCTTCGATCCAAAGCCAGCGATACGCAAATCAGCTGGCGAGGCACTACGAGCCGCCCTCATCGTCACGGCACAGCGCGAGAGCACCAAGCAATCGAGCGAGCCGCAATGGTATAACATCTGCTACGAGGAGGCGAGCAACAGCTTCAAGACCGAAGTGCTCACGGGCAAGGAGCAGAAGGGAATGACGCGCGACGATCGCATACACGGCGGCCTCATCGTCTTCAACGAGCTCTTCCGTTGCGCCAATGCGCAATGGGAGCGACAATATACAACGCTGAAGAAGCTCTTCCCAAAGTCGCAGCACAACAAGTTTCTGGAGGCGGGCAGCTCCTCATCTGTGGGCAGTCAGCTAACCACGATTGTGCCGCGCCTGAAGGTGCCCTTTGTGGATAAGCTGGGTAGCACACAGATGCACATGGATAGCGAGCAGCACAATGGCATTGGCAATAAGCTGGCAAGCGTGAGTATTAAAGAATTGCGGAGTATTCTCTAATCGCATTTGGAATAGTCCAAACTGCTTCATGAAAAGAGTCATATTTATATTGATTATTTTGATTGGCTTGCTGATATTGATTAACTCCCTTCTTTGCTTGCAGCACAATGTGCTGGAATCCGCTTACGCGCACGAGATACTTAAGAAGCACTTCATCAAAATTTGCGACAATGTGCTGGAGCAGCGTTCGTCAAAGTCACTGTATGTGCAGCAGGCGCTGCTGCAGATAATGCCACGTTTGGCCGCTTTTAATCGTGAGGTGTTCGTGGAGCAATATCTAAATAGGTGTGTGGCACATTTAATGGCGATATTGCGTGGCAAGGAAAAGGATCGCAATGTGGCCTACATCACAATTGGCTACATAGCCGTCGCTGTCGAGAGCGACATTGAGAATCTGCTCAAGCCCATCATGAGCAACATTAAGCAGGCGCTGCCACTCAAGGAATTAGCCAGCAAACGTAAAGTGCCCGTCGATGCGACAGTCTTTGCGTGCATCACGCTCCTGGCGCATGCTGTCAAATCCCAAATCGCGGAGGATGTACGAGAAATACTTGAGCAGATGTTCCACACGGGTCTGTCGCCGGCGTTGACCGTTTGCCTGCGCGAACTGGCGGAGAATGTGTCGGAACTGAAGTCGGCCATTACCGAAGGTCTGATTGGTGTGCTCTTCCAGGTGCTGATGAATAAGCCGGCGGCCATTCCGTATGCCACCATGCCACCCATTAGCATTGATGCCTCCCTGATGCTGCAGAGTGCCGATAGTCCAACCATTGTCCTCGCTCTCCGCACGCTGGGCACCTTCAATTTCCAGGAGCAGAATATGCTGGACTTTGTGCAACGGTGAGTAAAGTTAAAGATTATTTTGTAGATTGCATATTATTAGATTATATATAATATATAAATGATAACATTGACTAATATATATAATTAACTCGATCCTTTGCAGCTGTGCGGACTTTTTCATTGTGCACGAGCAGCAGGAGATTCGCCTGGAAGCGGTGCAAACGTGCACGCGTCTGCTCAAGCTGGCCGTAAAAGATTCGGCGGAGAGCATGGAGAACTCCAAGACGTTGAGCGATACGGTGTCGCATGTGATTGAACGCCTGCTGACGGTGGCCATCACGGATATGGATTACAATGTGCGCATCCGCATTCTCCGCTCGCTGGATGAGACATTCGATGCGAAACTGGCGCAGCCGGAATCGCTTAATGCGCTCTTCATTACGCTGCACGATGAGATCTTTGAGATACGTGAACTGGCCATGGTCACCATTGGACGACTGTCGTCCATGAATCCCGCCTATGTGATGCCCAAATTGCGCACCACAATGATCGAGCTGCTCACGGATCTGAAGTACTCGGGTATGAGTCGCAACAAGGAGCAGAGCGCACGAATGCTGGATCATCTAGTCATTAGCACACCGCGTCTCATTTCATCCTACATGAATCCTATACTGAAGGCACTAGTGCCCAAGCTGCACGAACCGGAATCGAATCCGGGCGTGGTGCTCAATGTGCTGCGTACAATTGGTGATTTGGCCGAGGTCAATGGTGGCTCCAATGAAATGGAATTGTGGGCAGACGAGTTGCTCTCTATACTGCTCGAGATGCTCGGGGATGCGGGCAGTCCAGACAAACGGGGCGTGGCCCTCTGGACACTGGGTCAGCTGATTAGCGCCACAGGTCGTGTGGTTAGCCCCTATCACAAATATCCGGTTCTCATCGATATACTCATCAATTTTCTGAAGACCGAACAGCGTCGCTCCATACGACGTGAGACGATTCGTGTGTTGGGTCTGCTTGGCGCTATGGATCCGTACAAGCACAAGATGAACAAGGGTCTGATCGATAGCCAAAAGGATAATGTGCTAATTGCCTACTCCGATGGCAAATCGGATGAGAGCCAGGACATCTCGTCGGCCGAACTGCTCGTCAATATGGGCAATGCCCTAGATGAATACTATCCGGCCGTGGCAATTGCCGCACTCATGCGCATCCTACGCGATCCCACGCTGAGCACCCGTCACACCAGTGTTGTGCAGGCCGTCACCTTTATCTTTCACACGCTGGGCATCAAATGTGTGCCTTATTTGGCCCAGGTGCTGCCCAATCTGTTGGACAATGTGCGCACGGCTGACAATAATCTGCGCGAGTTCCTCTTCCAGCAGCTGGCCATCCTTGTGGCCTTTGTCAAGCTGCACATCATCAGCTACATGGATGACATCTTCAAGCTGATCAAGGAATTCTGGACAATCAATACGCCGCTGCACTCCACGCTGATCAATCTGATTGAACAGATTGCCCTCGCGTTGGGCTGCGAGTTTCGGGATTATCTGGCGCAGTTAATACCACAAATTTTGCGTGGTCTGCAACAGGATAGCTCCAAGGATCGCATGGACACACGTCGACTGCTCCAGGCACTGCAGAAATTTGGCAGCACTCTGGGCTACTATTTACCATTGATTCTGCCGCCCATAATTAAGTTCTTTGATTCACCCTATGTGCCGCAGCAGGTCTCGCTGGTTGCCCTGGAGACCATTAGTGTGCTGGCCGGTCAATTGGATTTCTCCGATTACTCGTCACGCATCATTCATCCGTTGGTGCGTGTGCTCGAAACCGAACCAGAGCTGCGGGAACAGGCAATGACCACGTTGCGTTCCCTAGTCAAACAGCTGGGCAAAAAGTATCTGGTATTTGTGCCCATGGTGCAACGCACCATGAGTCGTCATCGGATCGTGGACCCCGAATATGAGAAGCTACTTACCCGCATCCAATCCAATAGCACCCTGGCCGATCCGTGCGGCATTAGTTTTGGCATTGGCATTCATTTTGGCCAGCGCCAAGCCAAATACAATGAACCCTTTGTCCTGGACAGCAATAGCAGCAGTAAGAATCTAAAGGTTTCAACGACAGCGTTGCGCACTGCGTGGCAAGTGTCGCGTCGCGTCTCCAAGGATGACTGGGTCGAGTGGCTGAAGCGTCTGTCCGTCGGTTTGCTCAAGGAGTCGCCGTCACATGCGTTGCGCGCCTGCTGTGTCCTCGCCCAGGATTACGATACCCTGCTGCGGGATCTCTTTAATGCCGCCTTCATCTCCTGCTGGACGAAACTGTCGAAAGAGCATAAAGACGAACTAACCCAATCGCTGATCCAGGCACTGAAGATCACAGACATGCCAGAGATCACACAGACCATTCTCAATCTGGCCGAATTTATGGAGCACTGTGATCGTGATCCCATTCCGTTTGAGACCCAACTGCTGGGCACCCGGGCGATGGCGTGTCGTGCCTATGCGAAAGCCCTGCGCTACAAGGAGAAGGAGTTTGTGGAGCGCCAGGAGGCGCCCGTCTTCGAATCGCTAATCCTCATCAATAACAAGCTGCAGCAGCGCGAGGCAGCCGAGGGATTGCTCACCACCTATCGCAATTCGGCGAACAAGGGCAATGTCCACGGACGCTGGTACGAGAAGCTACACAATTGGGATCAGGCTCTGCATCACTATCAGCTCAATTTGAATGCGGACACAAATGATCTGGAGGCGCGTCTGGGTCACATGCGTTGCCTGGAGGCGCTCGGCGATTGGTCGCAGCTGAGTAGCAAGTGCAAAGAGGAATGGCCCAAATTCAGTACCGAGGACAAGGCCAGGGCGAGTCCATTGGCCGCCGTTGCCGCCTGGGGCCTACAGGATTGGGAGGGTATGCAGGAGTATGTGCGCTGCATTCCCGTCGACACCCAGGATGGCAGCTATTATCGCGCCGTGCTGGCCGTTCACCGCGAGGAGTACGAGACGGCACAGCGTTTGATCGATGAGACGCGAGATTTGCTGGACACCGAACTGACCTCCATGGCGGGTGAATCCTATGAACGTGCCTATGGCGCCATGGTCTGTGTCCAAATGCTTGCCGAACTGGAGGAGGTTATCCAATACAAACTCATACCGGATCGTCGCGAACCGCTGAAAGCGATGTGGTGGAAACGTTTGCAGGGCGGTCAGCGTCTGGTTGAGGATTGGCGTCGCATCATCCAGGTGCATTCGCTGGTCGTCAAGCCGCACGAGGATATACACACCTGGCTAAAGTATGCCAGTCTCTGTCGCAAGAGCGGCTCTCTGTATTTGTCGCACAAGACGTTGGTCATGCTGCTGGGCACCGATCCGCAGCTGGCGCCGGATGAACCGTTGCCCTGCAATCTGCCCCAGGTCACGTATGCATATACCAAATATCTGGCTGGGTCCGGCGAGCCCGAGCTGGCCTACAAGCAGCTGGATGACTTTGTTAATACGTATAGTGCCCAACTGACTTGCCTGCCGCCAGAGGCACGCAAGCCGCAGGATCAGCGTCTGATGGCTCGCTGCTATCTGCGCCTGGCCACGTGGCAGAACAAACAGCACGAGAATCGTTCCAATCAGGACGCGGTGAAGGGTGCTCTCGAGTGCTTTGCCCAGGCGACATCCTATGATCCCAACTGGTACAAGGCCTGGCATCTGTGGGCCTACATGAACTTCAAGGTGGTGCGCGAGAAATCGCCCTCTGGTCTGGACAGCGATCGTTCCATCATCCAGAAATATGCGGTGCCGGCGGTGCAGGGTTTCTTCCGTTCGATTAGCCTGATCCAAGGCAATTCGCTGCAGGATACGCTGCGTCTGTTGACCCTGTGGTTTGACTATGGCCATCATGCTGAGGTTTTTCATGCGCTCGACTCTGGCATGAAGGTGATCGAGATCAATACCTGGCTGCAGGTGATACCACAGTTAATTGCACGCATCGATACACATCGGCGACTGGTCGGCCAACTCATCCATACGCTGCTCATCGACGTTGGCAAGAATCATCCGCAGGCGCTCGTTTATCCCCTGACCGTTGCCTCCAAGTCGGCATCGCTATCGCGTAAAAATGCCGCCTTCAAAGTGCTCGATTCGATGCGCAAACATTCACCGACTCTCGTCGAGCAGGCGGTCATGTGCAGCGAGGAGCTGATTCGTGTGGCCATACTGTGGCACGAGCAGTGGCACGAAGGATTGGAGGAGGCATCACGTCTCTACTTTGGGGATCGCAATGTGAAGGGCATGTTCGAGATTCTGGAACCGTTGCACGCAATGCTGGACCGCGGACCGCAAACCCTCAAGGAGACATCCTTCTCGCAGGCGTACGGCCGTGAACTGACCGAGGCGTACGAGTGGACGCAACGCTACAAGACTTCAGCGGTGCTCATGGATCTGGATCGTGCCTGGGATATCTATTATCATGTGTTTCAGAAGATTTCGCGACAGCTGCCGCAGCTGACATCGCTGGAGTTGCCTTATGTGTCGCCCAAGCTGATGACGTGCAAGAATCTGGAATTGGCTGTGCCGGGCTCATATAATCCCGGCCAGGAGCTGATACGCATTAGCCATATCAAGACCAATCTGCAGGTGATCACGTCCAAGCAGCGGCCGCGCAAACTTTGCATACGTGGCTCCAACGGCAAGGACTATATGTATCTGTTGAAGGGGCACGAGGATCTGCGGCAGGATGAGCGTGTAATGCAGCTATTCTCGCTGGTCAACACACTGCTGCTCGACGATCCGGATACGTTCCGGCGCAATCTGGCCATTCAACGCTATGCGGTCATTCCGCTGAGCACCAATTCCGGACTGATTGGCTGGGTGCCGCACTGTGATACGCTGCACACGTTGATCCGTGATTATCGCGACAAGAAGAAGGTGCCGCTTAATCAGGAGCATCGCACCATGCTCAACTATGCGCCCGACTACGATCATCTGACGCTCATGCAAAAGGTTGAGGTCTTCGAATATGCTTTGGGACAGACGCAAGGCGATGATCTGGCCATGCTGCTCTGGCTAAAGTCACCGTCATCGGAATTGTGGTTCGAGCGACGCAACAATTACACACGCTCCTTGGCGGTCATGTCCATGGTGGGCTATATACTCGGCCTGGGGGATCGACATCCATCCAATTTGATGTTGGATCGCATGAGTGGTAAAATTCTACACATCGATTTCGGTGATTGTTTCGAGGTGGCAATGACACGTGAAAAGTTTCCGGAGAAAATACCGTTCCGGCTGACACGGATGCTGATCAAGGCGATGGAGGTGACGGGCATTGAGGGCACCTATCGACGCACTTGCGAGAGTGTGATGCTCGTGCTGCGACGCAACAAGGACTCACTGATGGCCGTGCTTGAGGCATTCGTCTACGATCCGTTGCTCAACTGGCGACTCCTCGATGTGGACAAGAAGGCGAATGAGACGACGACGACGTCGTCGGCGGCAGCTGTCGGAAGTGGCGGCAGTCCGAGCAACTCCAATGAACAGGAGTCTCTGCTGCAGGGCAATCCGATGGCCAAGTCCAAGACGTATGAGCCACAGTTGCCGCACGGCGCCCTATCCAATGTGGCGGATGTGACCAGCGGCAAGGCCAGCATGGTCATACAGCGGGTCAATCGCAAATTGACCGGCACCGATTTCCAAATGAGCAAGATGACGGAGCAGCAGCAGGTGGAGCTGCTCATACAGCAGGCGACGAACAATGAGAACCTCTGCCAGTGCTATATTGGCTGGTGCCCCTTCTGGTAACTGTCCTGACTGTCCCCTCCTCCATCCGCCACCTCCTCCTCCTCTTCCTCCTCCCAATCAATCCAAATCTCCAGGCCCATGCACCCATCTGAGACTGAGCGAGACAACAAATACATGCATGCAGTTACAGTTACAGTTACAAATACACACACATTTATATTATGTATATGTATGTATAATTTATATTAGAGATACGCTTCATTAAAACTTTATTGTAAATTCCAAGTTGCAATTAAATTCCAAACTTTTTGTTAAGCCCGAGCCAAGCACTGGCATCTATCTAAACATTTATAAAACAAAAAACACTTTCTGGCGTAGCCGTGGCTCGGAACATCGAGCATCTGAAGCAGAAAACCACCAGCCACATGAAATTCAAATTACAAAGTATATATATTTATTATAATAACTAAAGCAAAGTGTGAACGTGAATTTATGCAGTGAAATTGGTTTTTATGAAATTATACAAAAAAAAAAAAAAACGAAATGATAATAATAATATTAATTAAGCAATAATAACATCTTGCACTTTTATCAATTATTGCATTCTTCCAAACATACAAAGAGTTCTGACAGAGAATATTTAGAAACGACTGCGACTATCCCCCCCTCAAAACAAAAGGAAATCAACTAAATCTTAGCTGCTGTTAATTCGCATATACATTCAGTTAATAATAGCATATATATTTGTATAGAGATATAGGTAGACACTAAAACTGCACATTAAACTACTACGTCGTATGCCTGTAGATTAGCTTAGCTATTGTTCTGCCGCTTGCCGCGCTGCTCCTTGCGCCATGCATCGATGCGCTGCTTCAGCTCAATATTGGGCACCAGCATGTCTTCGGTGAGATGTTGCCGATTGAACGGATCCGTGCAGCTATTGAGCAGATGACGTGTGATAATTGCACGATCCATAATGGTGCCAGAGGGCAATACAACCGGATCCGACATCAGTGTATCCATTAGCGGATCCTTAAACTCATCGGGCGCATCGGCGCATTCATCCTCAGTCTGTTGATTTGAAACTGCAATACAAATTTACAAAATCCATTAGTTATTTGCTGCAAGAGAATCAGGCTAACGTGGAGGACGCACCGTAAATCTCATGAGCTCTCTGGGTGAGCGCTTTGAAGCGCTCCACCTCCACGCCGGAGCGTAGTGCTAGGCGTTTGATGCGGGACGCCGCCTCGTTGCAAATGTGCACATCGAATGAGCGCTCGTCGGCGGCCAAAGCCTGCGCGAATCTATCACAGTCCAGGTGGAGATATATGTCAAAGATTTGGGCCAACAAGCTGCGCGGCTCCCAGCCATATTTGGTTGGGTTCTTCACTTTCAGATCGTTGCACTTGGGTCCAGCTAATTGTTTTAAATTAAAGTTAAGCATTGAGCTCAGGCGATCAACCAGCTCGGCGCGCATAAACGGTTCCTTGATATCGCTCTGCGTGTGCAACAACAGAAAACAATTAATATCCAAATGTTTAGCAAATGCGCAATAGGCCAACTTACAGTTAGATAATGAAATAGATCAACAGTCTCGCGGGCAAGCGTTAAATATGAACGGCATTGTCGTTCATCCGTTGCCAGCTGGGTGAGGCGACTCTGCTGCTGCTCGGCACTCATGCCGCTCCAGTTCTGCACGTCGGACATCAGCTGTTGCGTTAGATGAATGCGCTTTAGATTTTCAAGGCATTCGTCCAGCAGGAAGGTTGTGTCATTCATTAGCATATTGACAAACTTGACAAACTGATTGCCCTGCCTCGACTCACAGATAACAGCCTGTCGATGTATGGGATTCTCCCACATGGATTTGAACAGATGGCTAATGTGGTATCTGTTGAGGCAGCAATAATAATTAGTATTTAAAATTATATATAATTGAAGTGCGCCATTTTACCTTATAGTAAACTTATCGTAAAACTCAGTGCTTTGGCCAGTTGTCTCTACGTCCACATAAAATCGCATTAGTGCGCTGACCAGTGCATTCTGTGCCAGCTCATGATTCCACATCTGTCAACAACAAGAATATAGTCAGTAACGGTTTTCATTTGGGATACTGTTTTTTGCTTACCGCTGTATTTACCGAATTGGCCGGCTTCAGCGAGAAGACAAACATGACCTCAACTAACTTGGCAGTTACATAGGGATTCTTGATGAGATGCGAAGCGCAGACACAAGTCAGCAGCCACGTGATGATCGAATGATCGATGCCCTGCCTTATGTCCACATTGGCATGCTGCATGGCAAACAATATGAACTCGGCAATATCATCGATATACCACTCGGGCAGTGCGGAAAATGCGTCAGTCGGTTTCAGTTGCTGCACCGGCAGCTTCGAGATAAACGGTCCCTCAATGGCACGCCCCTCAAATTGGTAAAGCATAAACTCGCACACCGTCGAATAGAATTCGGTGCAGCGCTGCAGCAGCGCTGGATCAAGCAGCGTTATCTCACTGCACGTCTTTGAGCTGCAATATAAATAATTATTGATATTAATAGGAAAGAGTTAAAATTTATTATTGCCAAGTGATTCAGTGATTCACCGATTTAGTTTGCGCAGCTGCTTTTCCCAACGCTCCTTGAACTGATTGTTGCGATTGGCATAACGAGAGTTGACCCAATGCGGCTTGGTGCGATCCAGTTCGTCAATTAGCTTCTGCAGCTCCTTTATGGCGCGCACCTTTTGGCGATAGCGCTGTATGGCCGGCAGATAGCCAAGATGATGCGCCTGCAGTGTGAGGAACCAGCATTGTGTCTGGAAGTTCACATTCGATACTGGTGTTGCAAAATCACGAGCCAAAAAGCTCTTGTACTCCTCCTCGCTGTAACGGATCTTTGTGTCCTGTTCAATGTTGACCAGTGAGTTGCTATAATAGTGGAAATTCGGCTCGATGCGATCCAGTTTGATCTTGACCGACAACTGCTGCAGCACATTCATCAAATTGATAACGAAACCATCGCGAGCGAGTAGCTTCTCATCGCTGGCGAACTGCACGCGGCGATCGTTGTATCGCAGGATCTGGGAGATGTACTCCAGTGTCTTGGGACGGCTACTGGCGTTAACGCACAGCGAATGGAAAACGGTGTGCATGTGATTGCGCATCGAGTGCAGCTCCTATTTATAAAATGAATAAATTAGCAACAATAACTGGAGTTTAAATGTGGATCAGGCTACTCACCCAACGCAGCCGCGAGGTGGCCGTATCCTCGAGTTTGTTTTTGGTGCTGAACTCCGCGAACTTGACATTCTCCTCGGCAAACAGTGAAACGGACAGAAAGGGTCCGAGGAAGCTACATTTGACGATTTCACGCCCCGGTATCTTGGTACATATGGGCGGTATATAGTTGGGCTGGCGGGATAACAAATCGGCTATGGGTCGCACATTGCCCACCTTGATGACCATCAGTTTGGCCAGCCATTCGATCTGTTGGGTGTTGATCTTCGAGTTGCAAATGTTGCGTTGCATGCCACTGAAAAGGCCACGCAGCAATTGGCCAAAAATAGTGTCAAACACGCCGGTCTGTTGATGTGTTTCGGCCACCAGATCGATGAGAAACGCCTCGCTCACACGATCCATATACATCAGCTCCAGGAGTGTGGACTGATCCAGCTGATAGTTGAGATTGTGCTGTATGCGATCCGTCAAAATCAGCACCGCCATCCGCATAATATTATCAAAGGCTAGCCGCAACACCTGCTGAATGCGTTGCTCGTCGGGATCCATTTGAGCTCTGTTGCCCCTCTCGCGCTCAGTGTGATAGTTTTGATAGCAGCGCAACAAGTGGAGCATTGCATTGTGCTTGGAGGTGGTCACGATGTTCAGAGGTGTGGGAACCACACAAGCAACACCCGTATCGCCCGACGGCATCTCGGTCTGGCTGGGCGTGGCACTGGCGCTGGCGCGGGGATCCTCTTCGGCGGTGGCACTGGAAGCAACAGCATTGGCGAGTATTTCCTGGACTTCGGTATCGTCGCTTTTGATCTTTTTGGCTGAGGAGAATTCCTTGTCATCACCATTGGCATCGCCCAGACCGGTGGCCGTCAATGTCGCCTCGCCCTCGACCTTGAAGCTATCGTCCACCTCATCATTGTAGAACTTGTAGGCCGTCTCTAGCAGCACACTCGATATGATTGGCTCAAAATTGAAGCGCAGCGCCGGATACAGTTCCAAAAAGCTAGCTGTCTGTGCACAAATAATCGATCCACTACCATATTCATTCCACGTTGCATTTAACAGCTTGGACAACAGCTGCTCACTGCGCTCATCCAAGCTCTTCAGTCGCGACGGCTCCGTGTTAGACACGGCCTGCGGCGTCTGGGGCGGTTCCGCCGAATTGTTCTGTACGGCGATGGGTGGTAAGCACAATGCTGATGCGACGGGTGCAGCTGTCATTTCTACATCCTGTATGGGCGTTGATACAACCGATTTCATTTCGACATCCATGTCGGCCTTGCTGCTGCTGTTGTTGTTGCTGCTGCCCAGTTCTGGCCATGTTATGGGCACTGCCTTCGAGCTGGCCGACACCTCGCGCACCAATCGCGATTCGCTGGGCGGATTGCGTGGTGCCTTCTCTTCTGCTAAAGGGGCCGTGGCAGTTGGTTGGGACACGTTGCTTCTAGCCGCCAAAGTGCGCAAGCGACGTGCACGTATCTAAATAAAATAATTTGGCAATCGTTAGACAAGAAACAGCTGAGGGTTAGTTTTTTTTAAATTGTGATTTGGCTTGCCTCTTCGGCGGAAAGTTCTGTGACAATTAATTCTGGTGATGTGGTATGCTGCTGGGACTGGTTCTGCAGTGGCTCCTCCTCTGTGCTGGCATCACTGGGCGGCTGTGACTGCTCCTGTTGCTCATCCATGGCCTTCTGTGGCTGATCTCCTTCAGGCATATCTCTCACTCAGTTTGGCAGCTCTTACGTATATTATTCTCGCTATCTTTTTGGCAGTTGCCGTATGTTGTTTGCTTGTTGCGTAGTTCTTCTGCTCCCGGGTGAACGAACCAAACAAGGAAAATACAGAGAGAGAGAGACAGTGATTGAGAGACTGACCGTGTGAGAGAAGTAATGTGTAAGAGAATGAGAGCGAGCGAGCGACTTGAGTGAATTTGCCACGCGCATTTAACAAATAAACAAAATTCCAGCGGTCAACGTCAAGTTCACGTACAGAAGACAATGATTCGTTTGACTGCGCAGCATCCCCGTACAGCCATATAGCAGACGGATATTTCGTTTTTTGTTCTTTGTGATCTTAAGATTTACTACGCACCAGCAGCCAGATGATTGCTGACCTATGACAAAAGCAAAAGGAGACAACTAATCCGCACGGGCAGCGACTATTTATAGTCTCAGGCAAAATCATACGTTATCTGATTGACATGCGACGGGGTGCAAAAGGCGAAGGCAAAGGCGAACAACTGCAGATTGAGTGCAATAAGCGATATCATAACAAGTGACAAGTCAACATCGATAACACATAGATACACATTACATAGCACCCACCAATTGAGGGCATCGCCTTATACCATATTGTTACAAATTTCCAAAATAAGGAAATATATATCAGATAATAAATATTGCGCAACTATATCTTATTTTACACTTCACTTTTAATATATTTTCTATTTAAACAGTCATTAAGAGGTATGTTAAAATTGGTTATGCCCAATGTGGGAAAATATCGCATTTTTAAATAGAAACGTGCATGACAAATTAAATGAATAGTCATCTCAAAAAGTTGAAGGACCTGATTTCAAATATATAAACAAATGAAGGCGCCAAGAGTTAACAATAAGTCGAATTATTAAGAAAGCTTTCTCGCCCATAAGAATGGGATTATAAATCAAAAGATTTCTGTAAACAATGATTTCAATCTTATCAAAAAGTACTTTTACATTTTTTTAGATCTAAATTTTAATTGTAACTATTGCATTTTGGTGGTTGTTTCTTATGCGGTTTCAAGCTGCTGTTCATTTTATAAAGCAAGTTTTTGGCATTCATCGATAGCATTGTGTGAGACCTAAATATATGTTGACTGGCCAAATGTTGTTTTCAATTTGTTGACATATTTATGAAAATAGATGCTATCTGCGCAATTCCTTGATAAGTCTCGCAAAACAAGAGCAAAAGCAAACAATGTGGGACATAGACAGACATGCACAACGCATAGTCACGGCCGATGTAGGGTGAAAATAAATACGCACTAACCTATACACTTATGTGATGCTTGCTTACCTCTAAAATAATATTGACACTTTCACCTGCCGTCCGTCACAATGGGAAACTCATGAAAATCGGGCAAAGTCTATTGCATTTTGACAACGTTTACCTTTACCGTTTGTGTTGTTTCCTTGCCGATCGCAGCACTGCGCAGCGCAGCGCAGGCCTTTCAAGAGGGTGGCGGATGACGGACGGTGACACGCACAAAAATTTCTCTTTTGTTCTGGTCGAACACTTTTTTTTGTTGGCCTCACAGCGCCAACGTTTACAGTTTTCAAGTGGCTAACCAAACGTGTTTATCGCTTATAATCACAGAGAATTGGGTTTAGCGGGATTTTTAACACGTTCGCACACAGTTTTCAATTATTTCATTTAATTTTTAAGACTGCGTCCGTCAAACTAGAACTAGGATTGTTGATGTTATATCGATTGAGTGACTTATCGATATGTGATACAACAATAATCGATGCTTGCGCTGACACGCGAATGTTAATTATGCCAGCAATGAAAATAAGCAGACAACTGAGCATGAAAATAGCAACAAATATGTCGTATCAATCCAAAAATAATGGCAGGCGTTTGTGCATCGAACGAGAGCGATACTAAAAGCACCTATCGATAGCTTTGTACATGCAGAATGACAAATCATACTTGACAGTTGTTCAACAAAAGAAAATTATTTTACTTCATATTACAAAAATGTTACAATTACTTGCGGGAACCTAATACAAGACCTAAAAGCTAGATGTTGTTTATGTTACTAGAAATCCGTGTAGCGTTGTCGCATGCTCTGACGCTTGGCAACATGATGCATCTGAAATGTACAATTTGAAGTTATCAATTAAATTACTGCATCCATTTAACAATGAGAGTCGCTTACCAAACGTTGCTGGCGCCTCTCCCGATTTTTCTCGTAGGACTTTAAGAGCGTTGGACACATGTGTCGTATGTATTCCTCTGGCTCCCAAAAGAGACCGCCTTGATTCTCGTAGCGCAACAGAAATTCCACCTGGTTAATAAATTTGAATTCATTTGGTGTTTTTATTCCAATTTACTATTTAATTTTACTTACCTTGCCAGCCTTTGTCTCCTTGCCCAAAATACGTTCAATGCCATTCTCTGGCCTGGTTCGCTTATAGAAATTATCTTCGTTGTCATGCTCCTTTCTCAGGCGACGGTGGTGCATCTGTGGCTGTGGCATCTCCTCAACATTGTGGAGGCCGTCACGCATCCGTTCGCCATTTTGTTCGATGCGGCGGACAAATGTGAGTGGATGCTGCTTTAAGTAGTCCTCCGCTTCGGCAATTGTCTTGGCCAGATTGAACTCTTCCTCCTCTTCAACCTCCTCCTGCTGCTGATCCTGCTCATCATTCTCAAACTCATCCTCTTCTTCATCATCGTCGTCATCATCATCCTCGTCTAGATCCATGCCATCACAGCTGTGATTTGCATTGCTTCGCGTTGATCGTCGTTTCTTTTTCACACGATTACCGCCATCGTTCTCTTTGACATCCGGATGGAAGCGCACCTTTTTCACACGCTGATCGCTGTCGTCCGTGGAATTTGGCTCTTCGGCTCCTGTGACGGCATCTGCTGACGCTGGCGTTTCTATTTCGGCTAACGTTGTCTCTTTGAGGTTCTGGGAAATAAGTTTTACTTTCGATTCGAAAGCGGCGCTTGCTGAACTTATGTTGCTGTTGTTGTTGTTACTGCTGCTGGTGCTGCTGCTGCAGGTATTGGACTCCTCAGTCTTTGGTTCACTTGGCGGCGGAGGCGTCTCTCGCAGTGCAGCGGAATCCCTGCTGCAGTCGTCTGTCCCCGCTGCGGGCTCCGACGATGCGGCGCTGCTGGTGTCGACCATTACGCACTTGCTCTGCATTGATTTGTCGAGAGAGTCGCTGCCGGAATCATCGTTGGACTTCGTATCCATGGGCGGCAGGTTAAATGCGTCCTAACAAAAATTTTATTGCAAACAAATCAGTTGTGGAGCAATTCTTGCATTGCCATTCCGATAGTTTCATCGATTCGTATTTATTATAATTATCAAATGGCTCTGCCAACTTATTTTTCGAAATCGATTGCGATATGGAGCAGCAGTCGAAATATTTATCGGCTTATTGTTATGATTTAATATGTACAGTGGGTGTCACTGCTAGCTAAAATAACTACACCAAGATAATTCTTATACGCAGTTCGATGGAGTTCGTCCTTGTGATTCTAATGCACCGTATCAATAAAAATCTGTAAGAATTTTGACGAGATAGAAAAATTACAGATAACCCAGCCATTTTATTTCAGATTCTGTTGACTAGGGTTATCAACTGATGAAATGTTGTACAAATCGTCATTGTAGTTTCCGAGAAAACCAGAAGATTGTGATTGTGACTCACAAAAAAAAGAAAATTTTAATTGTTTGTGCTTTAAATAAACTTATATTCGATCAAACCAGTTCGATAGAGTAGACCCTTGCGATTCTAACGCATAATATTCTTCTTTTTCCGTTGCTCACATGCCATTAAAATTACAGCATTTCATTTAGTCAATGCAGCAACCTAAATTATGTTACTGGTGCGTGTACATGGTGGAGTAAACATGCCAGAAGAGGCAAATTATGTAGAATGATTTGTATCCTTATAATAGCTACATTATATTTTTCAGTGTTAACGATTGGGATATACCCTATACTGTCTGAAGAAACAATTTTGAATTTGATTTAGTGGTGGGCACTTTCCATGGTCAGGTCCTGGGCTCATATCCTTCTAAGCTATGTCCTAGCAGGACGCGCAACGAGGTCCACCGCAGCAGCCACGGTACGGCGGGCAAGCAGTTGAACAGCTGATCCGGCAGCAGAGGGCGCTTGGGCATCCTGTCCAGTAGTTGAAACAAAAGTTGGTGCATTGAACGCCCGCAGGAGCGCCACAGCAGCCACCTGGAGTCCAGCACATGTTGAGAGCTTACGGATAGAGGTAAGTTGACCAAGGAATCGATGTTATGCAAAGTTTTTTTTTTGCCTGAGTGTTGCACTGCTGCCAGACTCGAATCCGAACTAGTTCTGCTAACAAACAATAAATCACAATTTACATGAATTCGCAGCTAGAACTGACTGAGCTCCAAAAGATTTCAATATTGGAGACAAATTTTTGTTGTGCACACTACAAGACCAAAATCAGAATGAATATACACATTAGGTATTTGTATTCTAGAGGTGTGAATAGAATTTTCAGAAATTCAAGGCCACCTATGATAATGATTTTTAAATGATTTATAACTGTTTGACACAATAAGTTATAGCTCTCTACTTCTTTTAAGTTAGGAATCTTCAAAGCATCAAGGAGATGTCCGGTTATCAATAGGACAAACGACAAAGAATTGAGCCTATCGAGAGAGATTAAGACTAAAAAACCAAATTTTTGAAGCATTATTCAAGTATTGAACAGAAAAACTGCCACTAAATCAGCTTGAGATAATGGAAAAACGCTTTATTTGTCAACGATAAAAAAATCTGCAAATTGTAAATGCAACTTGTGAATTTTTATTATTTTTGATTTTTTTTTTTATTAACAATTCTTGTTTTGTACATTTTCTTTGTTTAAATTTATGCCGTAAATGTGTGTGTTTGTGTTGGCTTGTGTCTGTATGTGTGAGTGTATGTGTGTGTGTGTGTTTATATATAAGTATGTGCGTAGTAAACAAAACTAAGTTATTTACACTATTCTAATTAGACGTGTTTCATTATTAAAGACTATTTATATGTAGATATAGATACATATATGTATGTATATGTATATGTATATCAAAGGCGGTTGCGTTTATATTCAAATAAGTTTCTGTATACTTTTTCATTTCTGTATTTGCTTTTTTTTTGCTTTATATTTGTTACATTCTCTGTTTTGTTACTTGTTTGTTTTTGTTTGTTTAAATGTTTGCTTTAAACTATTTAAATATGGCCCCGCTATTCCACATGTGTTCATTTCGTTTCCTTAGATTTTATGATAACGTTTTAGTATTATTTTTGTTGTTGTTTTCAATTGATTTTTAGTGCTAACACGAGTTTACACTGTGCTACAAAAAACAATGATGTATAGTAAAAGAAAACCACGTTAACTATAATTTAAGCTACAAATTTATTACTAAAGTACTTATTTAACGGTTTGCTGCAGTTGTACAAAATCATATTGCAAATATTGCAAATTATTACACAGTATTTTCCATTCAATTTTTTAGTTTTTCCAAATTTGTTACTTGTAGCAGCTGATGTAAATATGTATGTTTATACTATGTATATAGTACCATATTCATTGAATGATATCTTGTAATGTTTACCATTTTATATTTAAATTTAGGTTGGTTTGTTTTTGAATACATATATATATATATATATTGTTTTTTTTTTTTTTTTTTGTAATTTACAATATTTAATAATCACAGTTCCCATTCAAAAACAAATTGTTTGCAGCAAGATTAAAATTTTGAATTTGTTTTTTGTTTTTTGTTTTTGATTTACTTGAAACGTTTTTGGATACCTTTCAATTTGTCACATTATGCATCTAAAACTAATGCTTTTGTTCATCCGATTTAAATTTTAAATATATATATATATATATATATATATATATATATATATAAGTTTTGATTCCATCGTTTCTATAAATTATAGTTAATAATATTTTGCACCGCACTCGGGTATTTTTTTGTTTGAAACATAACAAGAAATTAAGAGCTGACATGCTTGCAATTACCCACTGGTAATTAATTAATGTGTTTTTTTTTTTTCCATATAAAAGAACAACTTAAAGTTAAGATTCAAAGTGCAGGAACATGTTCCAAACGGTGTGTGTGTGTTTGTTAGTAACAGTTTAAATAATAATTGGTGCTTAAAACAAAACTTGACAACTAGTTACCCAAAATTTATATATAAAAAAAAACAACAAAACATTAACAACCCCAAAAAATAATAATTAGAATAATAATAAATTTATATACTATGTCTATGTAAAATACAATAGTAAGAGAAAAGGGCGTTGGACTTGCGGACCACGCCTACTTGCGGGAAATGACTTTGCCCGTCTTGGCATTGACCAGTATCATTTTATCGCCTGCTTCCGTTGTCTGCGTGGACGTCGGCGATGCTGGTGGGGGCGTGGCAGAGGCGTTGCCACGCAAACTACGCCTTCGCAGTCGATCGCTGATATTCTCGCTGCGCGGCGACGACAACAGATCCTCCTCCATGGAGGTGGGCTTGACGCTGAGTGCGCCATCGTTCTTGTACAGAATGATCTTTGTGCTGGGCTTCCTAGACGCCTCAGGCGCCACATCTGCTTCAAGCTGCTGCTGCTGCTGCTGCTCCAATTGGACATTGGCATTGATGACATTATCCTGGTTGTTATTGTGCTCCGCCTGTTGCTTATCTGGATCCGCTTCCGCTTCCTGTTCCACACTGATTTCCAGTTTGTCATAGCAGGTGTAAAAATCAACAGCTTTCAGCTTCTCACTGGCATTGAAATGCACCGCAGTGTGCTCCTCGAGTTCGGCCTCGTCCACGACGCTATAGTCACAGTGGGCACACTGTTGTGCCTCCACCGGCGGCTGTTTAACGCATGCATGTTGCCGCAGATGCTGCTGAAGTTGCTCGTACAGCTGTGTCTCGAACGGACAATGTTGGCAGCGCTGTGGAGCCGATGCTGATTGCGGCATATCCATGGAGCCGGCATCGCTGCTGGCATCCACTGCCAAATCACTGGTGGCCACCGAGGCGCTAGTCGATGGCGTTGTTGAGCTGCTCTGACGCTCATCATCCTCCTCGAGCTCCGGTTGCTGTTGCGGCTCGGTATCAGCCTCAGCCTCAGGCTGGGCTTCAGCATCGGGCTCCTTGGTGTGCTTGGCTGGCTCACGCGGAATCGCCGACTCCAGTTGCTTCTTCAGCAGCGAATTTTGTCCATTATAGCTGCTGGACGCACTGATGGCGCTCTGACGCAACGAATGTGCAACGAATTCATTGTCCACCACCCAAATGGTTTCAGGTCCGCCATTGATTTGCAGCAACTTGGGCGATGGATATTCGACATCCTCCTTGCAGTTGCGATACAGCTGTTGGCATTTCTCCTGGTAGTGCGACATGTGCACGGCACGATGCAGCTGGAGCAGTGTCTCCGCCTCCGCACGATATTCACAATAGGCGCACACATGAACGTGCAGCAATTCAGCGTCCAGATCCATGTCGCTGGGCGCATGGGCAGCCAAATGCTGCTCCAGCTCCAACTTTGCATTGCGCTCATCGTTGTGCTTCTGGGCGAAGCGGGCGGGACACCGTGGACAATAACTGATTAGCTTGTATTGGTATTCCGGTGGCAGTTCCGCGTTGACTGCCGGATCCAGCTGCAGCTGACTCAAATCGATGGCGGGCAGTTGCTGTTGCACCTGCTTGGCAGCAGCCAGCTGCAGTGCCACACTAAAGTCCAAGCCAGCTGCTGCTGCTGCTGCTGCTGCAGTTGCTGCACCACTTCCACCACCACCACCACCCAGCTGCTGTTGATGCACGCTGCGCATGTGGCTGCTCAGATGTTGCTTCTTGGCGCAGACAAAGGTGCACAGACGACACTCGTACTGTGTGGGTTTGTGCAGCGAGACATGGTAGTTCATCTGGGATTTACTCTCAGAGATGTACGGGCAAACGGGACACTTTTGCTGTTTGCTTTTCGTGTTGCTGTTGCTGCTGGGCAGCTCACTGTTGCCACCAACTGTTGCTGCTGCTGCTGCTGCCGCCGCTGCTGCTGCTGCCGCTGCTGGCAAGCGGGTGATTTCAATTTGATCGTTCTGCTGCAGTTGCAACAGCTCCTCGGCGCTGCCGGAGCTTACGACGACGCTTGCTGCTTTGCAGGCAGCGGCCCAATATGCAGCAGCTGCCTGCAAATCCTGTTGCGTATTTGCGGCATTCACCACAGCAGCGGCACTGGCAGAGAGCGGTGAATGCAACAATTGCTCCAGTTGCTTGCTGCTCAGCACTGAATTATTGTTGTTATTATTGGGCTTGTTGGTGTTGTTATTGTAGTTGTTGCTGTTGTTGTTATTGTTGTTGTTGTTGTTGTGGCTGTTGCTGTGAGTGTGGGACTCATTGCTGGCGCCGGCGCCCTGTGGACGGTAAATAGGCGGGGCATTTGGGGCGGCGCTGCTGTTGTTGCTGCTGCTCCGCTCAAGGGTCTCGATCCGAATATCCCCGGAATGCTTTAAGCGACAATGCCGCTGTTGTTGCCACGTGCAGAAGACCAGAAGCAGAGACAAAGAGATAGAGAGAGAGAAAGAGAGAGATATGTTGCTCAAATTAGCATATTGTTGTTGATCATTTGAATATTGATTATTGCATGTGTGTTTGTGCTTATTTATGTGTATGTTGATGAGACAGTCTTTTGTAATTCCACCGAAATTGCAGTTTATCATTATGCATTAATAGATTAAAGACACAGATGGGCATTTCCACAAACTAAAATGTTCCTAATCATGAAAAAAAAATACCTGAATTTCTTTTTGATGCATGGATTACCATAATTAAATAAAAATACCATTAAATATTAAACAAGTTAGTTGTAAGTTAAATAAATAATAAAAAAAACCGAAGATAATTTTAGAGCAACACAAATAGGAATATAAAATTTCAATCTGCAAAATTATATAAAAATGAGTTGTATTAGAAAACAAAAGTATTTTCAAAAGTTTGCATAAAAAATATATATATTTTAAGTTGTCTTCCTTTTTATTTATGCTGGAGTAGTGGAAATACCCATATATGTATATCGACATGGCAATCTTATCTGATAATTTGCTTGAGTTATGAAATACCCCTGAATGAATGTGCGCAAAGTGTATGTGTATGTTTGTATATGAGTGTGTTTGTATGTGTATGTGTATATATTTATTGCATGGGTAACCCAATTGAAACTCGCGCACCAAATGATCTTAAAGAGCCCCTGCCTTGGGGGGTTAGCTTATTGCGTTGGGTAAATGGTTTGACATTGAATCGCCATAAATGTTTTACATTAGTTTCGAGAGCAAGCAAAATAACAAGAAAAAAAAAAATAAATAACTGTCACCAATGAGTTCTTATAAATAAACGTAAGTGTAACACGAGTATTGTATATAGACGTACATATCAACAAAAAGCAAGACCAGACACCACACATGTAACATTTAGCATTAGAGCTTGTCATAAAGAGAAATTACATAAAATATGTTTTTTGCATATTTACCAGCGGTACTTAGCGACTACAGACAAAGATGATTTTCTGAGCGGATGGAGACATACAAATGTTCTAGGCTGACTCTAAATAGGGGTTTACACTACGACTCGATATGGTTTAACGGACAGGAGTGGATCACTCGGCGAGCAGAAGGAGAAGGTTTTTTGTAATTTGGGAAAACTTTTCATTCATTAATGTTTAGTTTTACGTTTGTAAAAAATATATTTTAAATTCATTTTATTTTGTTGACAAGCCATCAAGTTTACTTGCTCTCGAGAAAATGTTAATTGAAACATGTATTTTGTTGTTGTTATATTTCTTAAATTGAAGAAACTCAGAAGTTTGCAGGGAGTTAAAACAAGAAGTTCGCTTCTCTGAATATGACAGATTGTGATTACTTGAATAGAAACATAAATATACAAATATCTGCTGATTGAATTGTTATAATTATTAAACTAAAATCTGCTAAGTAAACTTTCTTGCTGGCGAGTGAGCACTGTTCCTTATATATATATATATATGAGTCTGACGAGATTCAACCATCTCATTATTTGCTTGTCAGGTTTCCGATTCTGATGTTGCTGCAAAGGACGGATCTTTGGTGGATTGTTTTTGTTTTCGTTTTTTTTTTCTTTTTCTAAATAGCGGTGTTATTTTTGTTGTTTTTGGGTTTCGGGACTCGTTTCGTTTTGAATTGGGACAAAACACAAACTATTAAAATGCATTTAAACAAATACCTGAATCACATGCTTCCAATTTGACACCTGATGGCAGTGGCCACAACGATATGGCGACGGATCTCGCCGATCGGCGTCGTTCATCGTTAAGAGACTGGGACTACCTGGACTATGGTTATGGAAATGTGTCCCCGTGTGGCCGTGTGGCATGTGGCTCTGTGGCAAATACGACGACGAAGATGGCGGCGACGAGTGCGGCGATGACGCAACCGAAGCCGGCGATGCTGATGATGACGATGCCGATGCGGATGCCGAAGCCGATGCCGAAGCCGATAGCGATGAAGTCGACGACGACGACATGGACGAGGCTGGCGTGGATTTGAGATTAGTATTGTGTATGGCATGGGTTAGACCCGTTGCCGCATAGACCCCATCACCAGTGATGATCAGTTGATTATTATTATGTTGTAGATTATTATTATTATAATGTGTATCGATGAGATTGGATGTGATGTTACTGTTACTGTTACTGTTACAATTACCAGTAGTATGAATCAAGGACTTGGCACCAGTTGGAAAAGTAGAAATAGGAATAGGAGTGGTAGTTACTGGCATATGCGATGTATTGGTGGTGGTGGTGGTGGGTGTATTTGATGATGCAACGTTATCGACGGCGGCGATTGCGCTGGGCGTCTTCTTGTGGTTTATCCGGCGGTATCCATAACCACTATTGATTAACTCCCCCCCTAAGGATTAGAGCTTGCTGATGATGTTGTTGTTGTTGTTGTGGTTGTTGTTGCACCCGCACCATATTGTGGACCGTGTCTGGTTCGTGGTGACGTGAGCAGATCTTGCAATGATCTGGCCGCGCTTGGGGTGATTGTGGGCGACGTCAGACTGTCGGCACTTGCCTCATTTTGACTCGCTTTCTGCTCACCGTGCTCTAAAATGGAGGCGGCATTAGCTTTGGGCATGGTCGTCGTTGTCGTTGTGCTACCCGTTGGACATTTGCTAGCACCGGTGGCCAGCGCCAAGGCTAAACCGCTCAGCGCATTCGCATTCGGTGTGGGTGAATGCTGTGCCTCTTGTATGGCACGCTGCAGCAGACCAGCCGAGATGAGGGAATGTTGTTGTTGTTGCTGCTGCTGCTGGCCATTGCTGCCCGTGGAGGATGAGGTGGCGCCCGATGTGGGCGATGGCTGCGATAGGCACATGGCAGCGAATACTTTGTTCATGTAGAGCTGTTGATTCGAACTGACGGACACCTGCAACGGCGATGTGCTGCTGCCCGACGCTGATGACTTGGGGAAGCTCGATTCCTGGTAGTGAATCTTCACGTGGGCCAGCACAGCGTCGCGGTTATGATGTCTACAAATGAATAGTAGAAAGTTGTGATTTAGTATTTGACTAGTGCAGGAAAGATTGACTGATTGTCTTGCTCACCGGAAGTTGCACTTGCGGCATCTGTAGAATGTCTTCTTTTCGCTGCCTTCCTGATGCACCTCAGTGATGAGATCATCGCTGGGCTTGCCAGGCGGCGTTTGATGTGTGCGCTTCACTGGCGATATGGTCACCGATGGCGTTATCATTGTGGAGTGATGTTTATGCTGTTGCTCTTGCTGCTGCTGCTGCTGTTGCTGCTGCTGCTGCTGTTCCAGTTGCTGATTTTGCTGGTGCTGCTGCTTGGCCATTGCAGCATTCACAAAGGTCGCAAGCAGTGGCAAACGTATGAGATTATCGGCCAGCTGTGCATCATCCAATGCATTCGATTTATTGGATAAGACGGGCTCGACCGTGATGTCATGACCAACGCCCACTTTCTGATAGTCCTTGAGGAAGGCCAGCGAAGCGACTTGATTGGGTGTCATTTCGCCAGATTTCATCAGCTTGGGATCACCATCCTCCTCGGTGACCTTCATCAGCGTTATATACTTGTTATACTTGGTGTAGTTTCGACGACCGGTCTCATCGTTCATCAGCACCTTGGCGGTCTTATGCGAGGGATCCCTAATGGTCTTCAGACGGATATGCTTTGTGATATCCCAGCGCCAGTTGGAGCGATACGAGCACAATGAGCACTCGAACGGCTTCTTATTGAGATGGCCAACAATGTGGACATGGAAACGGGATGCAGTCGATGCCCAGAAGCTGCAATGCGGACACTTGTAGACCTTTTTCAGTGACGAGTTGGCTGCCTCCTCTTCGGGCGTCATCTTTTTGGTTACCTGCAGTGCATGAGAGAGTCAAATTTCATTTTGACGCATTTGTCGTGCGTGGGTTGCATTCTGTGTGTGTATGTGTGTATATATATATATATATATATGTGTGTGTGTAAGTGTGTGCTCTGTTTCATTTCGTTTGTTGTATTTAAAGAAATAAATTGATTTTTGATATTAATAATTATCAAAATTAAACAATTCTACTGACAGTGTCAAAGAAATAAGTAATCAAATAGTTGCTGAACAGTTTTGAACTCTCATAGGAATGTAAAATAGACTTAATTTAAATTCAAATTTAATAGAATAATTATTCGCAGATATAAATCAAAAAGTTTGTCTATTTTGTTTTTGAATCTAGGAAAAAACGAAATGAAATCTTAACATTAGTTCTTTTTCTAATAAAAACTACAAAGAAGTTCGTAGAAAAAGTTGAATGTGTTTTTGGTGCGTTTTTCTTGAAGTTGGTTTTAAATTTGTTGTACTTACCTCGCCGTAGCCGGGTGCTGTCTCCACGCCATAGTAACTGTTCTCCTCGTTGCTGGCCGCTTGGCTGCCATTCGGTGATTTGTTGAGCAGCATGGCCTTATCCTTAAACACGGCAGCAGCAATCTGCTTGGCCTCCTTGTTCCATATGCAAACACGCTGTCGTTGGACCGCTGCCTGCTGCTGCAGCGAATGGGCGTCGTTGCGACGCTCGCTGCTCTCCCCGGAGTTGGAGTCGTACATTTCGTGAGCGCAGCGAATCGCCTCCGCGCACTGGGACAGATGATGCAGCAGATCTGTGGAGGATTTGCAGCGATGTCGACAGTGCTGGCAGCGTGTCGAACCCGAAACACTCAAATTGAGCGCCGAATGCGATTGACGATCTTCGTCATCTTCATCAATCTCCAGCCGATCGTCGGCATCATCCTCATGCAGGGCGGCATCATCTTCGTCCAGCACCACCGCCGAGGACTGACAGCTCTTGCCGTGTATAATCGATTCGGACAGACATTTGGCCACATAGCCACATTGGCAAATGAGATTATCATGCTGTGCCCCCGTCTTCAGCTTGTCGAAGAATGAGCCGCTCTTCTTGGCCAGTAGACTGCGCGAGGAGGCTATTGAGGCGATGGTCGTCGCTGGCGAGAGCTGTGGCACATCCGACTTGTCCAGCATCTCGGAGATTTGTTTCTCGTTAAAGAACATCGACGCTATCTCGGTCAGGGAACTTCGCGAGGCATTCGTATCCTTTGATAAGTTTAGCACGCTGCAAACAACAAATAGTTAATAATGTTAAATAGAACATTTATGAAAGAGCAGTGCAAAAGTTGAATATGAAAATTGTGATTATGTTTTCAACTAAGGCTAAGAGAAAACTTGCTTACATGTTTGTTGTAACTCTTATATTTAATTAAAGTATATTAAGAATTAAATGATTATGCATCGTTTCTACTTACTCCTTGGGGCTTTTTGTGATGGGTATCAGGTTGGGCAACGGACGCAGGTCACGCGGTGTGGCCGTACCCACGCTGGATGTGTCCGAGGAGCAGCCGCCCTTCTGTGAGAGATCCGTTGGCTCCTCATCATCCTCGTACTTGCTGCGTTTGCCGTAGTGCTCCTCACCGCTCAAGGCGCCACCATCGCCATCCTCCAGATCATCATCCAGATTGTTGTTATTATACTGATCCTCCAGCTCAGCCGAATCGCTCAGGAAATCATCGCACATTTCGCTAGCGCCAACTTTATTCTGACGTCGCGGCCAAATGGAGCCCGCATTGCCCACTGGCGGCACATGATGATTCATCTCGTGGACTGTCAGCGACTGTTTAATGTCTGCCGTAAAATCACAGGCGGCACACTTGAAAGCGCCAGCGCCTCCATGATTCTTCATATGCCTATCCAGATTCCATTTGTACGGCGTGCGAAAATCACAAGTGACGCACTTGATCATCGGCATCGAATGGTATTTGACATGTTTGCTGAAGCGCGCCTTGATGTGCGTCACATAGCTGCACTTGTCACAGCGGAAGAACTTCGTCTTGCCATGCTCGGCCAGCTCATGGGCACGCAACTGGTTGCGATAGAGGGTGGTGAACTCGCAGGCGCTGCACTTGAGCAAACGATTCTGCGGCTCCTCGCCGCCCGATGAGAATGTGGCGGGTGGCGGTGTTGCCGATCCGCTCGGCGATGGCGTTGGCGGTTCCGCTGGCGACGATTGACGCTCGTACGCATCCTGCACATCCAGATCGCGCAGCGTCGCCTGCAATTGTCGGCCATAGCTGGAGACGAGCTCCAGCTGCTGTTCGCGCTGCTGCAGCTCCTCGCGCTGCCGCTGATTGTAGGCCTCGATGTCGCGCTGCAATTTCTGCTCCTGCAGCTGCAGCTCACGCTTCACCTGCTCCAGCGTGGGCATATCCGGCACAGACATGGCCAACGATTGGCCACCCATCACGCCGACACTCTCCTCGAGTCGCCGCTTGCGTGCCTCGCGACTCATGCCGCGCTTGCCGCGCGCCTGTCCATGCCCGCTGGGTATGCCATCGGTGCAACCGTGCACCATCTTCATGTGGCGCACCAGCTTCTGGAAGTGGCGCGAGGCGTACAGGCACAACTTGCACTTATTTATCACAATCTTCTCGCCGTGCACGTCGCGCAGATGCGTCAAATGATAACGCGGATTCTGCGTGAAATACGCACACTGATTGCAGCTATAATTACGCTTAATTTTGCATTGTGGCAGACCCTCCTCTTTGGCGTCCAGCGACAGCGTCACATGGGGCTGCTGCTGTTGCTGCTGCTGCTGTTGTTGCTGTTGCTGCTGCTGCTGCACGCTGTTGACAACAGCAACAGCTGCTGCTGCCGCTTGTTGCTGTTGCTGCAACAACTGTTGCAGTCGATATCTTTCCAGTTGCTGCTCCAGTCCACTGGCAGCTGTTGCCGTTGGCGACGTTGTCGTTTCCAACGGTGGCGTTGTGTTGTTGTTGTTATTGCTGTTGTTGTTCCCATGCAAATTGTTGCTAATCTTGTTGCTATTGTTGCTGTTGTTGTTGCCAGCCTTGTGCACGCCCGGTTCCATGTAGAGCTGATTGCCACTTACAACGCTGCGCACGATTAGCGTATCGCCGGATCGCTGAACCATCGATGGCAGATCCATGATGGGTGCTTTTGTCCGCTTACAATTGGTCTCTTTCACTGGTCGATTGATTATTGTTTAACTGCAAGAAATCAGATGAAGTTACAAATTAGTTAGAGGAATGTTCAATTTTATTTTCTGTTTTTGGTTGATTGGAAAGTTGCTTGCTTTTAGCCTGTAAATGAGCACTAAATAAATTCAATTCCCAGTTGGTGGAATGCTAATGATTTACGATTTTTATGCCGCCTGCCTTAAATTGATTTTCAAATAGCTTTGCGAAAAATTATTGAAGTCCTGATTTACTTCCTTTCGCGAGAATCCACCCCCTGAGGTAATAAATTGGGTGTCAAGGTCTTAAACACATCTTTATAAAAAAAAATGTATTGATTACGTGATTTACTTAGCTTGAAAAATGCGCTAACAAAAAGTGCTTTCTGCACATCGATTTTCAAAAACTGATTTTGGGAAAATGTAAGACTAGAAATAAAAACTGCTAATTAAATATGGACAAGTAAATATATATTTTTAAGTTGTTTGCAATTCATTTGCCTTTATATATTATTAAAAATGTAATTTAAAATTCAGTTTTGTTGTCTATGAGCTGCACATAATTTCCTTTTATTTGAACAACAGTTATGAATTTAAGGGAGGGACAAATTTAAGGCTCCAAAAAGTATGCTACAAAAACTGAAGCGTATTTCAGGCGAAGAGTGTCTGGAAAAGAAGCGCATTTCAAAGTGTCCCATTAAGACTTAAAGAAGCCTTAAATGCAGATTTTGGCACAATGCAAATACTCATTAAGGACACGCACTCACACACACACACACGCAATCATTTGCTCTGCACTTGAATGTGTGTATGGAAGCATGTGTGTGTGTGTTTGTGTGCTCATAAATATTTCAACGCTTAATGTTCCGGCACATCGGAATAACAGAAGCAACGCCCGAATGATCATCTCCGAGACGCGAAGGAACATTTGAGTTCTGCGTTTATTGTGTGTCTGTGTGTATGTGTATTAGTGTGTGTGTGTGTGTGTGTCGCATTCGTGCCTTCCGCTTGCGACGACCGAAAAAGGATATTAAAATGAAATGTATGTGTCGTTTTTAATGTCCGTTGCCCAAACGCCTGCGTGCTCGACAAAAGCTGACAATGCTTTGGGCGCCGGGCGTCGGGCGTCGACAGTAAATTGTGCAAGCAATGTAAATTTGAGAGTCAGCCACAAATCTCCCGGGCGAATGTATTGTTATATAGCTGTTATGTGTGCTATGTGCTGGGCTGTCCCAAATGTGTAACACAAATCCATTTAAGGGCTAATTGGAGGCTGCTGCTGCTGCTGCTGCTGCTGCTGCTGCTGCTGCTTGCCTGACATCCGCAAATGCCAATGCTAACACATATATAAAAGTACAAAAAAAAAAAAAACAGATAAATAAAAAATCAAAATGGGGTCGTGGCTTTGGGTCGGGTCTTTGCTCCAGTGTTGGCCATTTTGCATGAGTGAACAATTGGTTAAAATGTGCTGACAGTCGACTGAGGAGACTACCACTCGCATGTCAAGTGCGCTTAATCCTTTGGGCGTTGTTTTTGCTCTCTCTCTCTCCCTTTAGCAACTGCTACACCATTTTATCTTTTAAGTCGTTTTTATTGAGGATGTGCATAAATTTAATACAATGAACAACTAATGTGGACTCTTAACCGCTCGAGATTGAGCTCAATTATTTTTGTAGCAGCCTGCAGAAATGTGTATACTCATTTGCAAAGCCTGTTTGTTAAGGGTCAGTTTTCTCTTATACAATTTACATTCCAAATGATTGACAAAACTTTGTGGTTTAAATTAAAGCGTTTTAAAATTATCTGCAAATGACTCCTAAAGAGCCTAGTTAACAAACTAATAACAAAACACACGTTGTGATCACAGCCAGACTGTTTGTCGCATCTTCAACGTGTGCGAATAGATTGCAGAAGTGTGAAAAGATGGTGGGAAACAGGGGGAAAAGCACATATCCTTTAGCATTGTTGAAGCCGCGTGTTAGGCTCATTTAAAATATGCTTATTAGGAGTATGAGGACTTGGATGCTTCCTGCTTATTTTCTTTTGTTTATGTTCGTTTGTGGTTGTTGTTACTTGCTTGTATGTCTTGCTAGAACAATAACTTGCCACGGTGCAGCCGCCATACGTTTGGTGGTGCTTTGAAATTTTAATTTTTCACGCGACGCCTAAAAGTACGTGAAAAGAAAAGCGCCAGAATGAAAAATTAACACGCACTTGGCGGGTGCGATGCCACGATGCCACGACATCAAGACGCGTCGCAACATCCGTTGCCGCAGCGACTCAAGTTGCCTTTGTTTGCTTGTTTGTTTGTATGTCATACTCTGTTCCTAAGCGAAATAGAAGGATATATTTTGCTCTGCTGTTTAAAATTCGCACTAAAATCTGTATATATTCCTGCTGCAGTATGCTAGCATTAGTGTTATAAAGAGTGGCACATGAGAGGGACATAAGAAAAACCATGGAGACTTGCTTGCCATTTGAGCAGAGTATGGCAAAGTTGGTTATTTTCAACTCGAACGTCTTTTTTTTTATTTTATGTTGATGCAGCTGTTGCTGCCTACGCGGACTTAATTAATCTTGCCGTGGGCTTAGCACGTCGAGCTGGTTGTCCTGTTTGTTCTGGTTGTCCTGTTCCGTTCCGTGTTACTTTATATCTTTTTTGCCGTACTTTTGCAATTTTGTGTCTGCTGCTTATCCTTTTTTCGTCAGTGTTGACTCTTGCCGGCTGTCTCTGCCGCCTTTTAATGAGCGGAAATAATAAAAATGGTCCAAGAAGTGTGGACAGAACCGGCTTTGTGATTGATGGGCGTAATGCCTTTTTCTTTGTGACTTTTCGCATTTAATTAAAATTCAATTTCTTAAAAAAATAGACATCGCAACCGTCACAAACAAGCAAAGCGACGATAAGAAATTGTAGAAAATATAAATATGAAATTTATGTTAATTTTGTTTTCTAATATTTTAAAATAAAGCAAGTTCTTTAATAGAAAATTGGCACAATCTTTAAGCCAAATTAGCGCTTGCTGTAACCAAGGACACGCACTGCGACTCTATGTCCTGTGCCATTTCCGTTTTGGGGAGAAGCGTTGACAAAATCGTTGCCTGTTTTTTTTGGCCACTTGGCCAAGCCAATTTCTGCGCTGGGATGCGCATCCTGGCTGACTGCTGCCCGTTTGTCCGCCGGCACAAAATTAAAAATGTGTTGCTATAAAATTAACTGCAATGGCAACACTGCAATTGCAACAGGGGCAAAAAGTACACAGCTAAATACGCAAAAAACTTCGTCGCCCCCCCAACATTTCAGTTAACGGTCCCGTGGCGCAATTTTTGCTGCCCTTAATGGCGTGTTTGAAGAGTGAATGCGAATTGCAACTCAGTGCTTCAGTGCTCAACAAAATGTTTATTCATCATCAATTTGTTTGTTGCTTTTTTGTTGCAGAAGCAGTCAACTTTTTAAGTAAGTTGCACAAATGCCATTAAGCGTTGTTAATTCGCCATGTTTATGTGCTGACCGAAAAATACTGTAGCTCGTTAGATGCACAGAAAACTATTCAATTTTGATTGCGTATACTTAATATTATAAAATAAGTTAATTTCCAGCCACTTGCATGTTTATTTGAAAATATCTTCGATTTTATTGTGACAATTTGCCTTAAAATGTTGAAATCACAGTAAAACTTGAAGTTTGAAGAGTTTGATCAAAAGTTTTTTCATTATAGAGCCCTTCTGCATATTTGATAGAAAGTGTCGTAGGTATAGGAACAGATTAATAAGCGTCGGTTAACTTTTCTGTTTATTTCAGGCACTTTTCCCAACGCTGACTAAAGTGGCTTCTTATTATTGTCAATTTTGCCTAGATTTGTTGAAGATTTTCTCAGCCAAATTGCCAGATAGTCAAAACTTTTCGCCAACAACACTGGCTGTAAAACAATTCGATTGTATTAAATTTAAGCTTAGCATTTTGCTGTTCCAACTTTTAGCATTGCTCTGAAAAACTTTTGCTCTTTTCTACAGGTCATAAATATGTGTGTAAGTGTGTGTGTGTGTGTGTATGGGAAGCGGAAGTGCACACTTCTATTGGTTTCACATAAATCGCAACAAATGTCAAAGTTTATTTGGTATTTCGAAAATTAAATAAAAATTTGTCACGTATATTTTTTCATGCTGTTGCAAGCTAAATGACAACTGTATTTCCTCTAGACACCAGAAAAGCAAAAAAAAAAGCACTGAACTTTACTTTAACAATTTCTTGAATGCTTTACTTTGATTTCGGGACTTTTGAATATGCTGTCTGGCTTCTCCTCACCACCCCCTATTTACGCCTATGAAACATGTCTGGAAATTGAAATTTTTGCGCCGTGCCTGAACACTTTGGCATTTGGCTGCGTGACTCCTGCCACTAACGGCAACAGCACGTTTCGACTCTAAGGAGCTCTTCCGCAGCTGTTGCTGCTGCTTATTTGCTTGGCAAAAACGTTGGCCGGAAGCTGTGTGTGGAAGTTCCGTTTTTTATTAAACTTTAATGGACAACTGCAAGCACATTTTCTACATTTCCAATGGCTGCAATTAGAAAATAGAGTTGCAAAAACAAATAAAAAAAAAAAAGGAAGGAAGCTTCGATTACAAGAACATCGCCTTTGCATTACTTCCGCATCCCGTCGAGTCCTGCCGGGCCATTAACATATGTTAGCATATGTTTGGTTGCCAAGTGGCAACTGGCATACATCCACCTGCTGTGCCTCGTCCATGAATAACAATTCACACTCACAACACACACATCAATACATATGTATATGTATATGTATATGTATGTGTATATGTATTTGTACATGTTGTCGTGGACATTACTCATACGCCATGCTGGCAACAAGAAGCCAAAATATAAAACAGCGAGACAAGCTCATAGACACACACACACACACAGACCCTTAATTACCACACACACACACACAACTGAGATGACTGGCCAGCATACGCTGAATGTTTGCTTCGTAGTTCGACAGTCGTTAAACAAAAAACAAAAAAAAACGCTGT